ACTCATCCCAGAGTACTCTCACTTTTACACCTGTTCAATAAAGGTCGTTATCTTTGAATCTCTAGTACTTACACCGTATGCTGTTGACAAAAAAAAAAAAATTATTCCATGATCACATTAAAACATTACAGACACATTTGTTATTCCATGATTCCGTTCAGCATTCCTCATTTCTCACCACACTCACATCACACTCATATCACAGTCACATCACAGGCCGATTCCCCACGTTAGTATTGGTCCAGGGTTTGTTAAGGTCAACGTAGTGTACTTTGACATGACACACAAACATATAACATACACAAAACATATAACACACAAACATGTAACACACACAGAAGGCCTGTACTTTTAACTTTGTTATATTTTTCCATGTCCAATTCCAATTGTCTCATGAGCTATTTCTTATTGTTGCAACTTTCAGAGCCTGCAGAGCTTTAAAAGAGTTTTCCTAAAAGGATCCATTTCCAACTTTAGTGTTTACCACGTGGTCTATACTTCGGGCTTATCACAGATTGTGTCCCCTATATCTCTAATGAGCTCTTGTCACCTAAAAAAATGTTTATTTTCCTTATTTTTTTTCTTTTTCAATAAAGCCAGGTCGGATTCATTAAAAATGTAAATTAGTCTCAAACTTTAATACTTCACCTTTGTTTCACGATAAAAATGTTTTTGTTACTCATTAAAGTAGCACAGATAGTGGTGCCTATCTCAATAAACGTACTCCGTTAGCCTATCTTTACTACACTGAAGCCATGAATTTTCAAACTCTAAGTTATTGTCTGGGAACGACCGGAGAGAGCAGCTTAGGTCGTTCGCGTGGTTGACCTCCAAGTTTTGTGCGGGCGTCACTATCCACTTGTTGTGGCTAATAACTTAGCAATCTCAGGGTTTGGTGTCAATTTCCAGTGGTAGTTAACTTTTGGGACCGGTGCCTCCTTTTATTTATCTATTTTTAATTGAGTCTGCACATAAGGTCTCGGCCTAGTAGATTAACCGGGCACAATGGGGAATATAGAAAAGAATGTTTAAGCTGGTTGCCCTGAGAATCAAAACACGTTAGCGGTGACGTAAATTGCTCTTTAGTCGTCTCTCCGACGCTGCTAATTAGAATATGAAACGGCCACTCATTTTAGGGGAGACAGAAAGGCTGTCACTTTTAGCACAGAATTTGTTGCCCCGGAGTCATCCAGAATTTTAACTTGTACACCACAGATTGTTAGCGTATATTACGGGCATGAATTATCTCTAAAAAGTGCCAATTGCAATTTGTTGTTGTTCAACTTACATGAGCGGTCGCTTTGGTGACGAATGTGAACCCAGGTTTGGTCAGTCGCTCGTGTTTCCTCCGTGCCCGCCTCTGCCGTCCTCTGGCCCCGTGTGAGCTTGAGCGTTCCTCTGCCTTTAACGCCTCCTCCGGTAACAGTCCTTCGACCCATGTCGAGCACACAGTCTTTCCGCCGGGCTGTGGAAGTTTTTCAAAGTCCGCAGGAGGCCCAGGTAGCCCAAAGCGTTAGCATGTGGTCCATGAGGGTTGGTGAATAACCCAAACGTGCCGGTCACAATGGCTTCTTCTGTTTGCGGTGCGGGAACAACTTTCAAGCGGGTTTCCGCGGGTGCGTTTGGTATATCACGCTGCCCCCTCCGTGGAGAACAGTCACGGGATTTGGAGCAGTTTCTCTCTGTGCTCCAAAGCAGTTGTCGGTGTCTCACATATTTGTTTCCCTCGCTTCTTCTTCTGTGGTTTCCTGAGCGTGTGTCTGTTTCCGCCTCTTCTTCTTCTGCGGTTTGGGCCCACTTCTCGCGGGGTCTCAGCTGGTGCGGGCGCCGCCTGTGGTTGGGGCGTGGGGCTGGTGCTTTGAGGCAGAGGACAGAGCGCGGAGGAAAGGCGCCGACAGACCTGGATAGGGACAGGGAAAAGAGACAACAGTAGTCTGCTTCATTTTTTAAAAACCCAACGCCTTGTTTGGGTGCACACTTATTGTTAGTAGGGGAAAAAGGGCGGTAGGGTGGGGGTGTGGGGGTGTGGGGGTGTGGGGGTTGTGTGTGTGTGTGTCCGCCTGTGTGTTCTCCGCTTCGGTGAAAAGCGGAGGAGCTATTGTTTTTACATATTTCTTTCTCTAACCTCTTTTGCCGTGATATTCTTAAAACCAAGTATATTTTTTTTTCTTCCCTTCTTCTTCTAAATTATCACGCAAAATGCGTAGTTGATTCGGAGACATAGAGCCTCCATAGCTTTAGGTCCGAACTGTTTTCTCATGGCCATTGTAACGGGGGACGTTAACATTCCCCTCGGTATGGCATCTTTAGATTGATTTTCCCATTTTCTCGTACAGAACAATGGGCCTAACCCGCTTAGTCTCTCCCTGCTCTTACCCACTTTGGGGCGCTCCGTCCCCCCCCCCGCTGGTTCAACCAGCGAGCGCGCGTTCTTGAAAACGGAGCGGTTCTGGCTGAAGACACTCAGAGATTCCAGGGTCGCTTACAATGCGATACTAACGCGCAGCCGCTAGCTTCAATCTAGAACAAAAAGCCCCCAAAAAATCCCGCACACAGACTATGCTGTGGCAATGAATGAAATACCCCAAAAAATACATAAATAAACAAATCCCCGTGTACACTTAAGTGCTGCCCTGGGCTCGTTACGCAGATGAAAAGACAAGACTCACCAGATTAGGTTCTTTTTGGTCTTGTGTGGCAAAAGGATTCCTTCCGTGCGCGGGACGAGCGCGCCCTCCTTTGTCTCCAAAAAGGAACAGAGGCTGGTGATCCAGGTCGGCCAAACAAAGCCGCTCGTCCCCGCCGAAAGTATCCATGCCAAGACATGTCAGCAACGCCAAATTGTTATAGAATTATATACCCCATGAAGGAGAAAACTCAAAGGTCCTTTGTCTGATCAAAAGCGTAAGTTTATTGTTAACGCACGTGCGGAGAGCCAGCACATCCACTCAAAGGCAGCATGTCCCAGCTCTGGCGCCAGAGCCCCAAGTTTCCTGTATACAAGACACACACGAGAGACAGTCCCGCCCACAACAGATTGGAGGGGGCCACCGGTGAGGAGGCGCATGGGGAGCGTTTGGCGCCGTCTGGGAACGAGGTGCGAACAGACAGACAATGGTCTAAATGCAGGTCATACAGATGCAAGACACGGAAGACACAAGGGTGTGACAGACAGCAGGGGGGCCCTCACAAAGCTCAGCATGGCGTCAGAAGGGCGTCTCTGCATTGATAAAAGGCCTTTGACGTCCGTGTATTTGCTGCGGCTGGTTTTATGTAATTACTCCAAAAACTGTCACCACAGAACGTGTGGGTGAGTGGAGGCTGTTTGAAAGAAAACAATCCAATACATAGACTGAGCCACACCCACCAGAGAGAGACACGCCCACCAGAGAGAGACACACCCACCAGAGAGAGACACACCCACCAGAGAGACACGCCCACCAGAGAGAGACACGCCCACCAGAGAGACACGCCCACCAGAGAGAGACACACCCACCAGAGAGAGACACACCCACCAGAGAGACACGCCCACCAGAGAGAGACACACCCACCAGAGAGACACGCACACCAGAGAGAGACACACCCACCAGAGAGAGACACACCCACCAGAGAGAGACACGCCCACCAGAGAGAGACACACCCACCAGAGAGACACGCACACCAGAGAGAGACACGCCCACCAGAGAGAGACACGCCCACCAGAGAGAGACACGCCCACCAGAGAGACACGCCCACCAGAGAGAGACACACCCACCAGAGAGAGACACACCCACCAGAGAGAGACACACCCACCAGAGAGAGATACGCCCACCAGTGAGAGAGACACACCCACCAGAGAGAGAGAGACGCCCACCTGAGAGAGAGACACGTCCACCTGAGAGAGATACGCCCACAGAGAGAGGGACACCCACCACAGAGAGAGACACGCCCACCTGAGAGAGAGACACACCCACAGAGAGACACCCACCAGAGAGAGACACGCCCACCTGAGAGAGATACGCCCACCAGTGAGAGAGAGAGATACGCCCACCAGAGAGAGACACACCCACAGAGAGACACCCACCAGAGAGAGACACGCCCCCCTGAGAGAGATACGCCCACCAGTGAGAGAGAGAGTGAGATACGCCCACCAGAGAGAGACACACCCATAGAGAGACACCCACCAGAGAGAGACAAGCCCACCTGAGAGAGATACGCCCACCAGTGAGAGAGATACACCCATCAGTGAGAGAGACACGCCCACCAGAGAGAGACACACACCCACAGAGAGAGAGACACGCCCACCTGAGAGAGATACGCCCACCAGTGAGGGAGAGAGAGATACGCCCACCAGAGAGACACACCCACAGAGAGAGACACCCACCAGAGAGAGACACGCCCACCAGAGACACCCCCCCCAGAGAGAGAGACACACCCCCAGAGAGAGACACACCAACAGAGAGAGAGACACACCCCCCCAGAGAGAGACACACCAACAGAGAGAGAGACACTCACCAGAGCTTTGAAGTAGAGTGATTTAAAGATCACCTTTAAAGAGTTTAAAGGTGCTTTAAAGTGTTTTAAACACATAACATAATACATGAATTACTATGGTTGTGAGCCATATTAATCTAAAACTAAACAAATGCTAAACATACTGTATGTCATATGGGCCCTTATTGTGTATTAGTTTTAAAATAATCTCCATCCATCCATCCATTTTCTTCCCCTTAATCCATTTCTGGGTCGGGGGGTGGCAGTCAGAGCTGCACTCAGTACACAGAGCACCAGCCCCTCACTGATCGTCCTGCAGGTGGTGAGTCCACAGGAGCAAATAAAATATTAAAATAATCTAATTTTCCAATATCTACCGAGACTGGCTTGGAACACAAGTAGGAGCAGCAGCTGACAGAGTTTTGAGAGAAGAGTACAGCTGTAGATTCATATGAAATAGGAGCCAGTGCATGTTCCACGGGACAGGGGTAATGTGCTCTGCTTGAGATCATACGTCCCTGTCGCAGCACTTCCTGGTGGTGGCGAACTCGGCCGAGCTGCAGCCAGAGCGCTCGGTGCTGTTCCGGTGGAGCTCGGGGCGCAGACGCTTCATGCAGCACCAGACGCTGCAGACCCACTCCGCTCTGGACTGGGAGTTCTTCACCATCGACAACCACAGCTTCCTGGTGGTGGCCAATCACAGACGAGGTACCAACACACACAGCTTTCCTTTTGGTTTATTTTAAAGTCGTTTCTTTATAATACAACAGATGATATTGTAATAAGACAGTTTGAGATTTTTATGAATTTATTAAAATGAAACTGAGAAGGAATGGTCACACCTGCTCAGCTGCTGCATAAATCATTGCAAGTCAATGAACACAAACTGCTTTTTCATACGTCAACCACAAACATTGTCTTTTAATCCATTAAATTCAATTGGAGGATTTGATTTTTCACGAGTGCTTTTGTAAACGCAATCATTGAGTTGTATGATGTCCCTAAATTCTGTCTATCAAGGTCCAAGTCCAGTTTTGGTCTCAGTTCCAGTCCAGTCCCCGCTCTCCTCCCAAAGTCTCAATCTCTGTGGGGAAAGTGAATAAGCTCCTGAGTCTGCACCTTCCACATCCCATGAAAACAACACGTTGGGAGAAGGAAATAAAAGTTGCATTTTCTTTGATCAAAAAGCAATAGATGAATTTGTGAATCAGAAAATATCCAAATGGAAACATATGAATTGGATTCTCCTTAATCAGTGTTTAAAGAAGAATTCGATATCTGGTCTTTTGAACTCTGTCTCTGCCTTTGAGGCCCTGTTTATACGGATGCGCTGCGCAGACGTTGCCCAGCTATTAACAGAAACCTCCAGGCTCCTAATGCAAATTTCACAGCGTTCATATGAGGATCAAAAACGATGTAGTTCTAGCGCCCGGACAGTAGTATGCAGAGGAACTTTACAACACGACACACACGAGCCCCATTACGCCACATTGTCTCCGTATAAACGGGCCTGAATGACACAGGGGCAAAGAAACTCGTTCACAGCATTTTTCTGCCGCTGAAAAAAAGTGTTGGCCAAAGCTGAGACACCTCCTCTCTCCTGGACCTTCTGCTTTTCACCTCCTCTCTCCTGGACCCCCTGCACTTCACCTCCTCTCTCCTGGACCCCCTGCACTTCACCTCCTCTCTCCTGGACCCCCTGCACTTCACCTCCTCTCTCCTGGACCTTCTGCAGTTCACCTCCTCTCTCCTGGACCCTCTGCAGTTCACCTCCTCTCCCCTGGACCTTCTGCAGTTCACCTCCTCTCTCCTGGACCCCCTGCACTTCACCTCCTCTCTCCTGGACCCCCTGCACTTCACCTCCTCTCTCCTGGACCCCCTGCACTTCACCTCCTCTCTCCTGGACCCTCTGCAGTTCACCTCCTCTCTCCTGGACCCTCTGCAGTTCACCTCCTCTCTCCTGGACCCTCTGCAGTTCACCTCCTCTCTCCTGGACCCTCTGCAGTTCTCCTTCAGAGCCAACAGATCTGTAGATGACCCCATAAACCTGGCCCTCCACTTCCTCCTGCAGCGTCTCCAGGAACCTACGGCAGCGTCCTGTTCGTGGACATCAGCTCAAATGTTGAGGTTACTAAAATTCTAAAACCTCAAGTTTAGTAACGAGTTGTGAGTAAAACACAATGTGAAGAAAAGATACAAAGCCAAGTTTTCCTCGCGATCGCATGAAAAACGGACATGGAACGACAATGAGGTATTAAAGGAACACCCAGGGTTTAAATACAAGACTAACGAGACACACGAGACACCAGCAGGTAATCAGGAAGTACATAGATGGATTAGAGCTAGCTAGATAGAGAGATATAGAGAGATAGATAGATACTTTATTGATCCCTGTAGAAGAAATTCAAGTGAACAGTAGCAGCAAAAATAAAATTGGCCAAAGCTGAGACACCTCCTCTCTCCTGGACCTCCTGGCACAGGTGGCTTGTCATGAAGCCACCTGTGCCATTCCCTGTGATAACACAAAGAATACATAACAGAAAAACATCTGAAGTTAGTCAGTCTAATCTGGAAAATCTAATTCAACAGCCAACCACAACCGCTGATACTGAAACTTTGAAACGTTCTATGCTAAATGTCAGATCTCTTTCTAACAAGTCTTTTTTTAATTAATAATTTTATTTGTTCTCATCATCTTGATCTTATGTTCATGGCTGAAACTTGGCTTGACCAAAATTCAGGAAATGCAGTTTTAATAGAAGCATCACCACCAAATTTCAAATTTGAATCTGAAATACGGGAAAACAAAAAAGGAGGAGGCTTAGCTGCCATTTTCAGAGACCACTTTGTCTCCCATAGAATGCCTCTTGGGAAGTTTCCGTCTTTTGAATATGTGTCTTTTAAAATACAACAAAAACAATCTCCTCCAATACTTTTCGTTGTCCTATACAAGCCACCGCAGTCATGTCACAGTTTTATTGATAATTTTACAGAGTTGCTTTCAGTTGTATGCACAGATTTTGATAGTTTAATTATTACAGGTGATTTTAATATTCATGTGGATAATGTTAATGACAGAAATGCAAAAGAGCTGAGTTCTTTACTTGATACCTTTGGTCTCACTCAGCACGTGAGTGGCCCCACCCACAGCAGAGGGCACACTCTAGACCTGTTAGTTACTAAGGGGGTGAATATTTCAAATGTAAACGTGGTCGATGTTGCGCTTTCTGATCATTTCTGTGTATTTTTTGACTTGTGTTTCACTAACAAACCACCAGTGGACTCTGCAACTGTACGAAGAAGACACATAAATGAAAATACGAGTGAACTATTTATGGGAATGATAAACTTTGAAAATGCATCGTATTCTACTGTAGATGAACTGTTTAACTCTGTCACCTCTAGTGTTTTGAATGTTCTGGATACCGTTGCCCCTGTGAAGGTTAAAATAGTGAAAAATAAGCAGAAGGCGCCGTGGGCTAAAGCAGACTCGGTCAGAGCACTGAAGAGAAAGTGCCGGAGGGCCGAGCGGAAGTGGCGCAAGTCCAACCTCCAGGTTGATTACAAGATATTCAAGGATAAGTTGTGCGAGTTTAACCGGTGCTACGTAGTACGAGAGAAAGGTATTTTTCTGAAATGACAATTAACAAACCCCCCTGTTCAGATGCCATTAGAGCTAACTTCCAAATGTAAATGCAATGAGTTTGCACACTTTTTCAATGACAAGGTTCAAGGCATCAAAAATGCCATTGTCTCCAATCCACAGATAACAATCCAACAACCAGAAAGGCTCTTTGAGCTAACTCACTTTGCACCTGTAGATGATAAAAATGTCCAAGAGATAATCTCCAGTTTGAGCTCCTCCACATGCAGCCTGGATGTACTACCCACTAGATTTCTGAAGTCTATTCTGAGCAGTCTGTTACCTTCACTCACACAGATAGTAAACATGTCCCTTCATTCTGGAATATTCCCAAAGGCCCTGAAAACTGCAGTCATCAGGCCCCTGCTAAAAAAGAGCAGTCTGGATGCTACTGTACTTAACAACTATCGTCCCATCTCAAATCTGCCATTTATGGGGAAAGTCCTTGAAAAAGTTGTCTACCTACAGCTTACTAGATTTCTTATATTCAACAACTCATTTGATATGTTTCAGTCCGGCTTTAGACCCCACCACAGCACTGAGACTGCTCTCGTCAAGGTTAAAAACGATATCCGGCTGAACACTGACGCAGGCAAAGTCTCAATCTTAATCTTGTTAGATCTGAGAGCTGCCTTTGACACCGTCGACCATGAGATCCTCTTACAGAGACTAGAGGACTGGGTTGGCGTCGCTGGTACCGCCCTAAGTTGGTTTAGGTCTTACCTTGAAGACAGGAAGTACTTTGTGGAGATTGGAAACTGTGTCTCAGATCATATGGCCCTGACCTGTGGACTACCACAGGGGTCGATCCTGGGACCTCTTCTGTTCAATCTCTACATGCTGCCGTTAGGTCAGTTAATACGCAGAAACAAAGTCTCCTATCATAACTATGCAGACGACACTCAGATCTATGTCTCACTGACTGCAGGAGAACATGGACCAGTGGACTCACTCCTTCACTGTATCCAACAGATCAGTGAGTGGATGCAAAACAACTTCCTTCAGCTAAACGCAGACAAAACTGAAATGATTGTCTTTGGTCCCCAGAAACAAAGAGAGAGCGTCATCTGTCACCTACAGTATCTCTCCCTAAAACCTTCAAACAAGGTCAGAAATCTAGGGGTAATACTGGACTCAGACTTAAATTTTAATAGCCACATCAATTCAGTAACATCAGCAGCTTTTTACCATCTAAAAAACATTGCCAGGATCAAAAACATAGTGTCTAAAGCAGACTTGGAGATTCTTATCCATGCATTTGTCTCCAGTAGGTTAGACTACTGCAATGGCCTGCTCACAGGTCTGTCCAAACAGGCTGTAAAACAGCTGCAGTACATTCAAAATGCAGCAGCTCGAGTCCTGACTAGAACCAGGAAGTACGACCACATTAGTCCAGTTCTCAGGTCTCTGCACTGGCTTCCTGTGGCTCAGAGAATAGACTTTAAAACAGCTCTGCTTGTGTACAAGTCTCTCCATGGCCTCGCACCAAAATATATTAGTGACATGTTAGTACCATATGAACCAGCCCGGACTCATGCTGCTAAAATCTGGAACAATCTTCCTGAAGATGTGAGACAGGCCTCCTCTCTGACAATGTTTAAAACCAGGTTAAAAACGGTTCTGTTTAGCTGTGCATACAACTGAGGGATTTTATATTTTTATCTTCCTTTTTAATGTTCTGTGATTATTTATGATTTTAATGCTTTCTTGTTTTGTTCAGCATTTTAAGTTGCCTTGTGTATGAATTGTGCTATACAAATAAACTTGCCTTGCCATCATTCTAAAAAAAGCTAGCAATAGTTTTAAAGCGGCTTTAACTCACATTGTGAAATTTTCTAATGTGAGCGCTGTCCTCGCTCTTTCTGCTCGCCCTTCCACTAACCCCCTCCCACTCAGCCTGTGCTCACATGCTAATCGTTTACGGAGCACACATCTCACAATATGGATTGCACATTTGTACGTGGATGGCATGACCATAGAATGATAGAACCGGGAACAAGACTTTCTCTTGGCTGTTTCTCTGTGTAAGCAGAAACCGGTAACGAATACACGGAAAGTTTCAGGTTAGCCTCCGCCGCTTGTTCACCTCAGCTGTCTGTGCTAACGAGAGACCTGTGGCTTTTCTCAAGAAAGTGGGGGCCAGTGGTCCGCTGTGATTGGTCACAATCTGGTGCCGAAACAAATTCTCTTCCTTGTTGCACAAAAACTTGATCTAAAATAAAATGACACGCCAGCACAAATCTGAACTACTTAATCTTCAAAAGGACGTATATCCCAATGCATTGCATGGATATGGATTGAATTTTTGTCATGAACACAAACATAAAGTGAGCTAATGCAGCTTTAATCAGCGACAGCCCTTCAGGTCACAGCAGCAGAGGTGGAGTAGCCTCTGGGTGGAGCAGGACGGGTCACAAGGTGGAGTACCCGCTTGGTTTGGACCATTTCCTCTGCTCTGGTCCAAAGAAAAATACTGAATGCTTTGTTAGAATTTTTCAAAAAGTTAACATTCCTCCAACAGCTGATCGGCATGAATCCTCTCTGCTCTGGTCTGGACCAGTGCAAGACCATGAACACTGTACTGCAGCAACATCCAGATAGAAACAAGCAAGAAAAATGATAATTGTAAAACACAAAACAACAACTGTTTCAGGGCTACTTAGGACTTTCTGCAGTTTCCAGCGCATTCAAAAGTAAAGAAGACACAGGGGTTAAAAAATTACAAAATAAAACATGTAATATATCTAAACCATGAAAATTACAGCTCAAGACCATCTCCTCTGCCGTCTGAAGACTCTCTCCCCGTCTGCTGGGGGGGGTTGTCAGAAGTGTGGCTGATGTTTTAGACTCAGAGGAGATGGTGTTTCTCCATAAAGCAGATGAATGAGGTCTTTTAAACACCCGCTGTGCCCAGGCTTGCACCAGGAGCCGGGCCACTCTCTGATCAGCGTTTGATGCATCTGCTGCAGAAGCCACAAACCACAGCAAGAGGAGATCTGAGAGGGCGATGGGGGTTGAGGGGGTGGGGGAGGCGGGGGAGGAAGGAAGGAGGTGCGGGCCGGAGGGTTAACTAAAGCTTCACTCTCGGACATGAAGGTCGATCTGAAGGTGGGGATCTACTTCTAAGAGCTTTTAATCATGTTTCTAAGTGTCTTCCATCTTGCTTACTTCTGTGGGTGTTTCTCCCACTATAGTGTGCGTCCCTCCAAACACAGACACAGACCCTAGCTTTAAATGATACACAATGCTCTGTTCATCAAAGCTTTGATTACTTTGATGAAAGGTTTAATTAACAAACATTTCACAGATGTTTCGCCCATTTGGCGTCAGTCCTCTTCCTCCTCAGTATCAGCTCCTCGCAGCCAGCGCAGGAGGACTTTTGCTTCATTAATTTAAAGGAATATTATATTTTAGATCCACAAACACAAAAAAGTAATGTTTTATAATCCGTTCAGGTTCTGAGCTTCAACATGAGTTACAACAATAACATATACATTTGTTGGAGCAGAAGTTGGCTGAATGATGACTGCTTATTTTGTTATGTATTTATTTACTTCAACGTGTGTGTGTCTGTGTGTGTCTCTGTTCAGCTGCAGACTCCGCCCACAGCATCGACAGCGTGATCTACATCTGGAACCCTGAGACAAAGGTGAGAAACTCCTCCACTGCTGTGGAAGTCCAGCAGTGTTCTACTGACCACCAGGGGGCGCTGCACAGGAGTGAATGACTCCTGGAGCCATGTGCAGTTGGAGTAATAAACTTTTACTTTACATGTAAAAGACAAAAGATGCCAGACCTGTGACGGGCGGACGACCAATTACACTGTTCTCCTTCTCCTCTAGTGTTACTGTTGGTTCATTTGTTACTTATGGAGCCTCACGAACATTACATACTTAAATTATAACTTATAATAGTGTGGGAGTCGCTGCGTGAGTTCCTTCTTGTGGTCACCTGTTGCAAAAAGTAAAAGCAGTCATTTCAAATAGCACCATTCTGTTCACCCCTGACTTCATAGAAGTGCACATTTGTTTTAGATCCCATCACTTGTATGGAACAAGAAATGTGACCTTTAAATCTTAAATAAACGTTGATCATTGTCAATGGAACAGTCGGTGTTATATCAGCGTTGACCAAAAGTCGCTCCAAACAGCAATATTCTAATATAAATATATGACTAGAGCAGGGGTCAATGAAGGGTGGACACACACACACACACCACTGTAAATCCCCAGTGTGAACTTATTCAGGCACATGTTTAAAATCATCATTTAAGACTGAACTTTCGCTGTAATGTCATGTCATCTGTAATCATGAATGTAGTTGCACCAAACTGAGATTTCTGAATCATTTCCCAGATTAAACTTGAGCTAGATCTTAGCTCCCCGTCACTGGAAAGGTAGTTCTGTACCATGTACTCGAGTAACATGCTGACGTCCCCAGCGGCTGCAGGTGAATCAGACCCTGCGCACCGTGGGCGCCTACGACTGGGAGTTCTTCTCCGTGCATCACTACCACTTCCTGGTTGTGGCCAACACTTTCGACGGCCGCACCACCTCGGTGAGCTCCACCATCTTCATCTGGAACCAGGGCCGCTTCCAGCACTTTCAGGACATCCCAGTGAGTACTGCCTTTGACCCTCCAACCAGGACCAACCACTCGTCCTCAGTCCCCACATCACCACATCCTCATGTCCCCGTGTGGAAAATCTGTTCAGTTTGATCCAACTTCTGTGAAAGCTCCTCCAGACGAGTCTGTGTCCAGGAGCTGCTCTGGTTCAGGACCACAGTCTGTGGACCTGGACCAGAGCACCGGCTACTGGACAGCCTGCACCCTGGATGTCGGGGTTTAGTCCGGGTTTAGCTCTCGTTTTGGTGCTTTTCGAGCATCTTATGCTGGTTCTGAGCGGCTTGTGTCCCCTGCGCTCTAAAAATTGATTAATCTTCATATTGTGCAATCGCTGAATGTGTGGAGTCGTCATACTCACGCGGCGCTGTGAAAACACATCTGTCGCCAGACAAACATGCCCACATGCAAATATTCGCACCGACGTACAGCACTGACTTGGAGTAAACCCACCGTCCCACATGGTTCGACCCACATGGTCCGGTGATCAAAGCACTGATGATGATGATGTTGCAGACGCAGGGCGCGGTGGACTGGGAAGCCTTCTCCTTCGACGGGCGCCATTTCCTGGCTGTGGCCAACAGTCAGAGAGTGTCAGACAGAGCAGTGGACTACACCATCAACTCCACCATCTACGAGCTAAGCACTCTCTCTCACAGCTTCCTGCCGTTCCAGAACCTTCTCACTCACAGGTACCTGTTCAAAGTACAAACCTGGACGCATGTCTAAGGCGTGTCTAAGGCGTGTCTAACTTCTGTCACAGTGCGGTGGACTGGGAGTTCTTCTCGGTCGGAGAGCAGAGGTTCTTGATCGTGGGAAACTCTCATGACGGCAGCTCCTACTCACTCAACAGCGCCATCTACAGGTGAGAGGGTCATGTGACTGTGTGGTCGGTGTGTATGACAGGACCAGTGTGTGCTTGTGCACACTAATGGACACAATGCTGAGTCAACTCACCACAAGCAGAGGTCTGATGCTTCTGTTGCTACACGGTTGCGGTTGTCGAGTCAATGGACATTTGTGTTTTTACTATAAAGCACGTTATGTTGCATTATTCATATGAAAAACACTTCATAAAAAAACAAGTAGGCTCAGCTCGCCAAAAGCAGATGACGCCGTTTGTGGTGAGATGAATGAGTCCGTGTGCTTGTGCACTCAGGTGGCAGGGGGCTGAAGGCTTCGTTCTCGCTCACTCGCTGCCCACACTCGGCTGCAGAGACTGGGAGCACTTCTCCACAGCAGAAGGCTCCTTCCTGGTGTACGCCAGCGCCACCTCCAGGATCAGCAAGGTCTTCCACCTCAGGACCTACTGACTCACAGGGAGGACCCACAAGTGTCTAATGACCTCACAGCAGGTGTCTTTGAAAGTGTATTCTCTAAAATAACTACATTCAAACAGGAGAACACACATGCACCATTTACCATCGTACTTCTGCAGTAATGAAAAGATTCATAGTTATAATCCTTTGGAGAGCTACCTGAGAGGGAGGGAGGAAGCTACTGGTCACTCCTGAGCCACAGGTTGCAGACCCCTGGTTTCTGCAATCCTCTTTCAGTAGAGCACAAACCTCCACCAAGAGTCAGTTTCACTTTTAAAATAGTTCTGGATCTGAAGAATCAGGGACAGGTTCTTTTAAGAAGTGTTTTTGTTGTTGTTGTAAAAGATAATATATTTTTATTCTTGAGGAATTATATGATGCACATGTTTTATTTATCTTTATTGCACTAAATGTATCAATTATTTTTGTCCCATTTGTGTTTCTGCAATAATAGATATAAAAAGAATACACGTTTGTTTTTATTTAGTTTCAACATATTAAATATACACTTTTTATCCACAAACCTTACTTTGACCTGAGAAAGCACACTCCCCGCTGTGCTGCTACATGAAGACACTTTATACTTTAAATAACAGAAGTAAACGTTTTTCTCATTGAGGTCCACGAAACACACATGTATAATATATGTTTAACAGGAGACAGGTCTGTCTGCCAAAATAACTCATTTGGATGTTTCTAGTTGTGCTCAGTCATCTCCAGAGAAAAGTAAAACAGCAGAAAAATATTCCATTTCATTAAAAGCATCCACTAAGAAAATAAAGATCTAAAACCTTTTAACAAAGCATCAGGTATTGGCCGATCACATGCACCAGCCCTAACCTGGAGAATGATGGACACGGCAGCTGTAACCATGGTAACTGTTCTGTGGACCAGGGGGAAACGGACCATAAAGACGTCCTCCACGTGTCTCAGAATCAGGACATAAGCTGCACTTCTGAACGTTGCCTGTAAAGTTCATAGCCCTGGAACAATGGTCTAAGGAAGTCACTGGTGCCCTGGACCTTGTGTGTCCTCTCCTCTGGTGCTGAGGACCATGTGTGTCTCATAGCTCTCTGAGGGACATGCGGAGCTCATCCTCCCGCAGGCTCTGGTCCAATCGCTGCGTCTGGATGTGCAGGACGGTGGGCGTGGTGCGGTGCGTCACGGCGGTGAGTGAAGCACTGAGGTCTCCGTGTAACCAGCGCAGCTGCTGCTGGTTCTGGGACAGCTCCAGGATGAAGTGGGCCTTCTGCACATCACACCAGTGTCACACAAGGACTCAACACAATACTCAAACACACTTCCTGACGGAGGAGGGGCTAAAGACGGGGCTCATTTGTTAAACTGTTTGACTGATTTAAAAATCTGCTGGTGGTAAATCAACAATTCTGCAAAGTTTTTAGGTCGACTGGATTGAGATCAGTCTGGCTCAAAGGTGAAACATTCATTTTCATTCAGTTAAATTAAACTCTTACAAAGGGCAGCCTCAGCTAAGTCTAATTTAGGACCTTTTAAAAATACAATTATGTAAAGCCACCATCAAGAGGAAATAAACCACATTTAATGAATGCTGTTTGTGAACAGTTTGAAGCATTTCATTTGTCTTCATAAATTCAATAGTGTTTTAAAGAGAACCTGGAGCTGACCCACCTGCTCCTCCAGAGTCCTGACTAGCTCCTCCAGTACCCGCACTCTGCTCCTCAGCTCCTCCCCCTCCTCTGAGGGCGGGGCCTGCTGTGTCAGAGGGGCGTGGCCCGAGAGCCTCCTCTGGGTCCAGGACCATCGCAGCTCCGCCTTCACACAAGAGAAGCACAACTGTATCATACGTGTACATGGGAGACAAGTCCAGGCCTCAAGGCCTCTTCCTGGTACCTGTGTGCCTCCCTCAGCCCCCCTCTGTCTCTCCTCTTTTCCCCCTTCTGGAGGCCTGGAGCACCTGGTACCTGTGTGAAGGCCTCCCTCGAGGTGTTCCTCTCCTCCCTCAGCCGGTGGTTCTCCTGCTGCAGACGGCTAATCTTCTGCCCCATGCGTCTTTGCTGCAGCTCCAGTTCAGCCACTTTACGATGCAGAGTGTCCAGTCTCTCTGCTGGGCCCTGGGAAACACATATAGTATATTTACAGCTCGTCTGTATTTGTCGTGTCATAACCAGAAACATAAAAGTTAATTTGAGCTTTGCTCTTTGACCAGAATTTAAGAGACTTTCTGCCCCTCTGTGCACGCCATAACTATTTGAGTTCCTTGTGGTGCTGTATTGATCTCGAAATAAAATAAAATTCTTGTGACTGATGCAGAGTGTGCTCCCTGCTCACCGTCTCTGTCCCCTGTCCTTGGGGGTCCCAGAGTGTCTCTTCCTCCCTGGACTCTCTGAGGTGCTGCTGGGACTGGTCCAGCTTCTGCAGGAGCTTTGTCCTCTGACTCTCCAGGGCCAAGACCCGGGCCCTCAGCCTCTCCTGCCTACTGTCCTCTGGGGGCCTTTGGGACGCCAGCGTCTGCAGCTCCTCTGCTCGCTGGTGGAGGGCGCTCTTGAGGCGTTCCGCTTCCGCGAGACTCTCCTGAAACAGAGGGGTCAGCAGCTGTTTATGGTTCTGATCTGGTGACATGACAAGATAAAATAAACATGTGGTCAGAGGTATTCCAGGTAAATATTAAAGTAGACTTGCCTCTGCCATCTCTGCTGTAATGTGCAGGACTATCAAAGATACACCTGGTTGTTAGATTTGGAGCTGGCCCCTGGTCTCACCTGTGATTGAAGCCTCAGCCTGTTCACCTCCTGCTTCAGCCTGCTCTCCTGCAGCTGTGTCTCCTCCAGTCTGGAGCTCAGATTTGTGGCCTCCTGCTCCAGTCTCTGTCGTGTTTGGACCTCTTTCCCCAGCTGCTCTGTGAGCTCCCTCAGACGCCTCCTCTCTTCCTCTCCCCTCTGCTCCTGCACCTCCTCCATTGCCTCCTCCAGCTTCGCACACTTTTCCTCCAGCTGCTTTGCTCTTTGAGACGTCTGCTGTTGCTGCTGAAGAGCAGCCTGAAGATCTGACTCACACCTCTGAAAACACAAAAACACACATGTCAATCATGTCTCTGAGTCCAAGACAAAGGCAGCTTCACTGGAACAGGCTTCAGTTGGAAATGGGGACTCGTGAGCTGGACTCGGACTTGAGTCCGACTTAAGTCGCTATTTTTAGAGACTTGCCACAAGACCCGGACTCGTCCCCTAAAGACTTGGGACTTGACTCGGACTCGTTGTTTTTGGACTTGCCAGTCCTGACGCTCCAGATCCATCCATTTCACAGGCTGGTAAGTGTGCGCGCTCTTTGGCTGTTCGCGCTCTTTGGCCGCGATGGCGGGTCTTGACTGTGCGGGAATGCACGCGTTGGCTCATCACTTTGTGCATCAGTTGTATCTGAGCTGTGAGCCGCTCTGTCAACGCGGCAGTGCGCAGCCTTAACGTGGTCATAATGTTCCCAGGACCATACACGCGCACAGGACCATTCTCTGCTTGTTGTGTGCGTGTCTTTATACACCTCTGCAATAAACAGAGCTGGATGATAGAGCCTCCTGACGTTCCCATGTCTCCCCGTGTCTCCTCCTAAACTCACTAAATTAAAGCTGGGGTATGTACATTTTCCCTCGCATTAACAGCTCATGTTGGTTGACCCAATAGTAAAATGTTGTGAACAATAGGGTTTTACGTTTTGTGTGTTCTTTTTTGTTATTGTTTACTCACCCCTCAGACAAGTTAAGTTTTATTTTCTTCACTGTGATTAAATGACACAAATAGTTGAAATTAAATGTACTTTCTGGAATTGTAGAGGCTTAAATAAGATTAAAAAAATAAAACAGGTCATGAACAGATTGAAAGATATTGGCTCTAAAATCGCATTTTTGAAGGAAACCCATGCTTTAGAAGTAGACAATCTCAAAATAAGAAGAAGGTGGCCAGGGGCTTTATATGCAGCCTCGTTTACTTCAGGAGCACGAGGTGTAATCACTCTAATACATAAATCAGTTCCCATTTCAGTCTCAAACGTCATTAAAGATAAATATGGCAGATTTCTCATCATTCAAGGATCTATTTTACAGGAAACATTTAATTTGATATATCAAATAATGATGATGATGCATTTTTTACAAACCTTTTTCTAATCATTTAATCTCTTCCAGGAAAAAACATTATTGGCGGAGACTGGGACTGCGTTCAACTGGATCTGACCAGACACACCATAAAAGCAGGGGGGTACTTTGCAACTTCTTAAAATAATTAACTTGATTGATATTTGGCGTCACCTAAAACCAAGTGATATAACCTATTCGTGTCACTCCAAAACTTTTAATACATACTCCTGTATAGATTACTTCATAGTATCGACAGAACTGCATGGCTCTCTAGATTGTGATAATATGCAACAGAATGCCTTTTTAGACAAGCTAACCATTCCCACAATTTCAGATCATTTTAGACAACAATTAGATACTGAAATTAGTGAGGAAGAAATAAAAAAATCATGGACAGAATGTCTATGGGTAAAAAATCTGGACCAGATGAACTCCCCGTTGATTTTTATAAAAAATGTCAAAGCAAAATAATAAAGCCGATTTTTTGTTTTTAGAATCATTTAGGAAAGGTAACCTTCCTGACTCGATGACAAAAGCATCAATTATTCTCTTACCCAAACCTGGAAAGCCTAATGACAAATGTGAAAATATGCAACCTATAAGTTTGCTCAGCTCTGATCTAAAAATACTCAGTAAATTATTGGCTGTGCGTTTGCAAGATTCATTACCATCAGTCATTCATAGAGACCAAAATTGTTTTATTTTAGGCCGACAAGGTCTTCACAATGTCCGCAGGGTCCTTAATATTATCCATGGATTGAAAGAAACCACAGATCAAGCCCTTCTTTCATTAGACGAATGGTCTTACCTCTTTGAGATTTTAAAACGATTTTATTTTGGGGATATATTCTGCAATTGGATTCATTTACTTTACTCTAATCCAACAGCAGAGATTTCGACAAATAGAAACATGTCTTCACCAATAAAAATAAAGCGCGGTTGTCGAGAGGGCAGCGCACTGTCGCCTTTGTTGCTCACCCTGGCCCTAGAAGCACTCGCTTTAGCGGTGCGAGCCCACCCAACAATATCTGGAATCTCAATAAATCGCACAGAACATAAGCTTGCTTTGTGTGCGGATGATATAATTCTGCTCATCTCTCGACTAAACACTTCAATTCCAGCCTTGCTGCAACTTATTGGTGAGTTTGGTCATATCATGGGGTACACCATAAATAGATCCCAATCCTCTATCCTTATGCTAGATAAAACCGAGAGAGAGAGGCCACCTCCGGTAACTTCACCCTTTAATTCAGTTTCCAATTTTACCGATAGTAATAGTTAGGCTCAATTATGAAACAATCACAAAAAGAAATATCTGACAATATGAAAAGATGGACACTCCTGAATTTGTCCTTGATTGGTCGAATTAACATATATAAAATGAATATACTTCCCAAATTACTATATATATTTAAAAACATTCCCTTGCCACCACCCTGTGATTGGTTTAAGATGTTCAGAACTCTAATTCTTTTTTTTCTTTGGAACAATCAAAAAGCTAGAATGAGGTTTACTTTGTTGTCTCTGCCTTATGGTGATGGAGGTTTAAAATGTCCAAACATAGAATGGTACTATTGGTCTGCTCAATTAAGGTCAATGAGGTATTATTTTCACAAAAAGGATGCCCCGGAGTGGGCGGAAATGGAAAGTGAGTCATTAAGCCCACAACTACCTCTGTATATTTTTTCCGATACAGAAGTGAACCTTAGTAAGAAAACCAATAATCCAATAGTCAAAAATATCATAAATGTGTGGTATTCGATAAAAAAGCGTTTAAAAGATTCAAAAACTTTATCACAATTCAGCCCCATTTGGGCCAATCAGGACTTCAAACCAGGCAGAAAAGATGTCTTTAAACAATGGGCATTAAATGGGCTGGAAAAGATTATATCTATACCCCACAAATTCTAATATTATGTCTTTTGAAGAGCTGCAGCAAAAATATAGTATTCACAGGAAGTACTTTTTCAAATATCTTCAACTTAGGAACTATATTGGGACAAAGAAAAAATATCTTTTGATACCACCTACATCTAGTTTGGAGATTTTGGTCTCTAGGGAAGGCTCAAAAAAGAGGGCAATTTATGAATGTTATAATTTTTTGTTGTCAAACTATTTTGAAGATTCAAATCTGAAACTCAATGCTTGGAGAAACGATCTAGACACAAACATATCTTAAGAAATTTGGTATATGGTATGCACCAAAGCTCAAAAACAAACTCTTAACTCCAGATTAAGGTTACTCCAATATAAATGGTTGATGCGAGTCTATGTCACCCCAGTTCAACTCAATAAATACAACCCCAATATCCCAGAAACATGTACAAAATGCAATGAAGAAAAGGGTACATTATTCCACTGCATATGGGACTGTAGGATAATAAAATAATTTTGGACAGTAATCACTCAAACTATCAAAGGAATTATTTCAACCAACCCTGGAACCAAGCTTTTTAATTTAGGGAATTTATCCAAAGAATGTAAGTTATACAAGTAGTGAGAAAATTCTTATAGACATGAGTATCCTACAAGCTAAAAGGTTAATTGCACTGAACTGGAAGAATAGTAAAAGTCCAGGCATAGAACAATGGGCTAAGCAGATGCTCTCTGTTTTGCCACTGGAACGAATCACATATATTCTAAAAGGGAAAAGTGATTTGTTTGAAGCTGTTTGGAGGCCATTTATTATGTATCTAGGAGACATGAGCCTATTGGACGAGCTCAGTGAAGAAGAATCTTGATCATTTTTGACATGTCTGGGAGGGTGTGTGTGGTTGTGTTTTGTTTTGTAAAAAACTGTAAATACTAAATAAATATATTGTTGGAAAAAAAAAGGTTGTGAACAAATCAAACAAATTTAATAACGTCATTGGCTGACGTTATGTATTTCAGACTTTTTTGAAAAGTCCCATTCTCATCCCTGAAACAAACAATAGTTTTGGTCTGTGCCCTCACTGTAGTGACATGTTTGTTACTCTCTTGTGGACTATTGCACTTTATTTTAATTGTTGAAACTACATACATCCTCTACAGTATGTGCTTCTGCATAACCGTTAAAAAAAAAGTGACAAAAAGCTGGGCCAGGCCGTTGAGGCAAAAATTCCTGGGCTGTTTTTTGGTCCAGCCCTGATATGACCTGCAGGCTGAAATGTTTGTATGAAAGGCTGGAAAAATATTTTAGTCCTTTTTAAATTTTATTGGCCATAATTCTAATGCGTAGGAAATGAGACTTGGACTTGGACTTGCTGGTCCAGGGACTTGGACTTAGACTTGACTTGGACTCCTGGGCTAGGGATTGGGACTTAACTTGGACTTGCGTGGGACTTGTGTGCTTCTGATCATCAGACACAACCGTATGACTTTACTGCACCGTGATCATCTGTGACTCTAAAGTAGCAGTGCATGCTGCTCACATTTAGAATTTCTAAAAGGGGGAGGGCACGGACTGCGCAGTAGAGACGCACGAACTGCGCGGGAAAGTCGAAGGGGAGGAGCAGGAGCAGAAAATTGATGCACGCAGGTGATGAATTTTGCTGAACCTTTCCTCGGGACGATCGTGCAGCGACCAATCAGAGAGCCACAAAGTGGTCATGGGGACATTAGTGGTCTGAGTGAGCAGACTGAACATACTGTAAACAGCCAAAACAGAACCCACACCACGACTTAAAACCAGGGTTGACAATGGGTGACTGTGTGCTTGTGAACATGTGAGTTTTCATGCACCCGTGACTTTATGTAACTGCTTCGAGCGTGTTCGCCGATGCGGAAGTACTGTTTAATAATAAAATAAACGTATTATGCACCTCCGTGAACACATACTACTGAAGGTCCTGGTTCGTTTAAATCCACAAACAGTATAGATAAAATCCTGTGGCCCTGCATCCAGCCCCTGGCCGCGCCTATGAATTCTGTCCGTAAAAACAGTGAACAGAACCATACAGGGAGCTGACAGCCCTCAGCAGAAGGACCACCACCCTGGTCTGTCACTACATTGGAATTGTCGAAGAGTATGTTGAAGAGTCGTGTTAGCCAATACAGTGCTACAACATCCACAACCAGAGCCTTGCCACCGAGCTGCCAACAACCATAGTGACTTCATCCAGGCATGCCGGCTGAGATGGGGGCCCTTGCCCCCAGTTTGCTGCCTCTCTCCATGGGAAATACCAGAAAACTCAAGCCACTCAATCCAACCCCTCTTCTTTTATCCATTCATATTTTATTTTACTATTGATGGGGGGGTCAGTCCCTCAAATTTCATAAAGATGAGACACATAAACAGAAGCTTATGTACAGAAACACATTTTAATGCAAATGTATGAGCTTGATAGTTCCATAGGTCTAAGATACTGTAAACTCAACCATAGCAAGGTTCTTTGGACCCTTGTTGCAGCAGCTCGAGTCCTGACAAGAACCAGGAAGTATGACCACATTAGTCCAGGCCTCAGGTCTCTGCACTGGCTTCCTGTGGCTCAGAGAATAGACTTTAAAACAGCTCTGCTTGTGTACAAGACTCTCCAAGGCCTCGCACCAAACTATATTAGTGACATGTTAGTACCATATGAACCAGCTGACTTCATCCTCATCATCGCTGTTGGTAAAGGCAGTGAACGCGATTAGCGATGCGTTTTTTTCCCGCAGCTCCCCCGCGTCTCCCGTGTTCCCCGTGGATGTCTATCCCCGCTACTTTCTCCCAAATGCCCGGTGTTATGATGCCCCTGTCCCCTCCACCACGGCCCCTGCTTGGCGTTCACAGAATGCTTCCACCGAGGACAAGCAGCCGCTGCACAGGGGCTGATTGTGGACTATATGGCGCGGTCTCCTCGTCACTAATAATGTCCGTGTCTGCTTCACTGGACACCTGCATGTCTTCCTCCTCTGAATCTGAGTGAGCCAGTACCAGACCAGGTACTTCTCTGGTACTGAAGACCTTGTGAGTAAAAGAAAAAACACTCTCTCCCTCTGCTCTGCTCTGCTCTCGCACCCCTCAGCTCTACCGCTGCTGCGCCGCAGGTGTTTTACAAACTCAATTTACTCAAAAACTTTCAATATAACCACACCCACAAATGCTGCTCATATTACAGGCACACATGTCCACTAACCCCTGGTGAAAAGTATTAACAAGATTCTGCTCCACATTTTTACATACAGCCTGTTTAAGTGAGCAATGTTGCTTGTCGCAATATTGCGACTTTGGCGCTTAAAGGGTTAATGTTCTGTGATTATTTATGATTTTAATGCTTTCTTGTTTTGTTCAGCACTTTGAATTGCCTTGTGTATGAATTGTGCTATATAAATAAACTTGCCTTGCCTTGCCTTGCCTTTTTTGTCATATGCATCAGACAATCAAGTGAAAAGGAACTATTACGTAAACAAGTTTTGATCATCTTCAAGCCACGTTGTTGTAAGGACTGAGACGGAGAAATGAGCTAAACCAATTCAAACAAGGTATGTTAATACTCCGAGAGTACGAGTTCGGGTCCTCTGCTGAGGGACGTCCGGTCCCTGTGTGACCGGAGCCAGAGCTGCGTTTGCATTGCCAGCAGTAAGTCAGATACGTTCCCGGTGAATGTTGGCCTCCGCCAAGGCTGCCCTTTGTCACCGGTTCTGTTCACTGTTTTTATGGACAGAATTTTTAGGTGCAGCCAGGGGCCGGAGGGGGTTTGGACACCACAGGATTTCATCTCTGCTGTTTGCAGACGATGTTGTCCTGTTGGCTCCAACGAACCAGGGATTGCAACATACACAGGGACGGTTTGCGAAAGAAAATGGATGAATGGATGTTATTTTTATAAAGCAGACAACAGCTCTGTCTGTGAGGATTCGTCACAACGTAGAGTCCAACATAGAGTTTAACATAGAGTATATTGTGTGTATTCTGAGCGCACTGACCTGGAGCTGCCGTGTGCGCTCTTCTGCGTCTGCGCACACATCGGTGTGCTCCTGCTGAGTGTGCTGCAACTGTTTCTCCAGGCCACTCTTGTCTTCTTCTGACTTTGCAAAAGCCACTTCCAGCGCCTGCCTCTGTAGCTCCTCATTGTGTAGTAGCTCCGCCCACCTGGCTGCCTCCGCCCTGTGTCGCTCCGCCTCTCGCTCTTGCTCATGGACAGCGCTGGTTTGGCGCTCCAGGAGTCTCTCTAGACGCCTCACCTCTTCCTCTGCCTGTGCAGCAGAACACATGCATATGAAGCCTTTTTAAACCCATGTATCATTTCCCAAATGAGTTTGAGCTTAGCTGCAGTGACATTTTTAACCACATGACCATATTGTTTCTCATAAAAAAACACACTGAACATGGAATCAAACCCAGCACATCCTTGCTGTGAGGCACAAGTGGTATCCACTGAGCCATTGACCGCCCTATTTATTATTAATGATATAAGTAAGAAATGGCCAGATCTCCCTTAATACAATACTAATGGAATTTAACAGTTTAAACTGTTGACTACTGTAATTTTCTTGCGCACCAATTATTATGAAATCACAAATTGAGGGATTCCGCTAACTTGATGCAAAACTATTATTTTCCAGAGGACCCTTATTCCACTTCGGAATTGGTGCACCTCTTGATTGGCCTCACCTGTTCCTTCTGCTCCTCCATGACGCTCAGCTCCACCCTCTGTAGCTCCCTCTGCGCTCGCTCCTCTTCTGACCTCAGGACCCTCTCGTCTTTGTCTGTTGTGGGCTTTTCTTCATCTTCCGTCTGACTGGCTTTTCCTAGTTTTTCCACCAGCGTTTGCTCATTTTGTCCTTGACGTACCGGGAGTGCATCGACTTCTGGCGCCTCGTTTTGGTGTCTGGCCAATTCCAGTTTTGTCTGTAGCTTCTGGATTTCCAAATCCTTAACTTCATTTTCCCTTTTCACATTTGCGAGTTCATCAGATAATCTCTTAAGCTCTTGCTCTTGTTTTTTGTCTTGCTCCTCTAGGCTTCTTATTCTTTCACAAAGTTCTGTTTTCTTATTCGCCCCTTCCTCCTCTATCACTTTAACCTTCTCTAAAGCAGTGGCTAAATGTTCTTCCATCGTCTCACGTCCTCTCTGCAACTGTTGCATGTCTAACGTTTTGTCCTCGTTAACTTTTGTCAGCTTCTCGATTTGCTGGAGCAGTTTCTGATGTTGTTCTTGACTGTCTTCACCTTCTTTTTCCAATCTAGCAATTCTCTGGAGCATCTGTCTTTCCTCCTTATTCCCTTCCCACTGAAGCTTCTGGATTTGCAGATCTTCATTTGCCTTTTTCATATTTGAGATTTCATGCAATAACTTCTTCACCTTCTCCACCTGCTCCAGTTTCTCCTCCACTAAAGTTTCCTCTCGCGTAATCATTTCTCGCAACTTATTGGACAGCTCTTGCATCTCTTTTTGCTTTAGTTCTTCAGTGGCTTTTATTTGCTCCTCCCTCTGATCTCGTGCCTTTTGAACTTGCTCCAGCTCACGTTCTTTCTGTCTCTTCAGTTCTTCCAAATCCTTCACTTGCTCTGACAGTTTCTGAAGCTGCAGTTGATGCCCTTTGTGCTCCACATCCTGCCTCTGCTTCTCCTCTCTCTCCTTCTCTCTCAACTTTTCCAGAAGGTCTGAAGTCATCAAACACCGCTCTTCCATCTTGTCAATTTCTGTACGAAGCCTGTTTGTTTCTTCTGCTTCTTCCTGGTTCTGTCGCTCCAGTGTTTCCAACCGGTCCATCAGTTGCTCCAGCTCCTGCTCTCGTTCCTTCTTTTGATCCTCAAAGATCCTTATGGAAAGTTCAGCTTCTGAATTTTCCTTGTCTTCCTTAATGGCTTCAGACTTTGCAAAATTAGCATCCAACTGTCCTTTCAGAATTGCATACTCTTTCTGCAAGTGTTGCATTTCTAACCCTTTGTCTTTTGCCTGCTCTTCTAAGCTCTTCAGCTCTATACAAAGCTCCTGGATTTGCAGATTTTTGTCGTCTTCTGCCTTTTCCATATTTGCGATTTTATCTAATAATCTCTTCTCGTTCTCCGACTGTTCGTCTGCCTGTTTAACCATTTTGTGTAAGTTATTGGACAGCTCTTGTATCTCCTTTTGTTTGAGTTCTTCAGTGGCTTTTATTTGCTCCTCCCTCTGATCTCGTGCCTTTTGAACTTGCTCCAGCTCACGTTCTTTCTGTCTCTTCAGTTCTTCCAAATCTTTCACTTGCTCTGACAGTTTCTGAAGCTGCAGTTGATGCCCTTTGTGCTCCACATCCTGCCTCTGCTTCTCCTCTCTGTCCTTTTCTCTCAACTTTTCCAGAAGGTCTGAAATCCTCAAACCTCGCTCTTCCATCTCGTCCCTTTCTGTACGAAGCCTGTTTGTTTCTTCTGCTTCTTCCTGGTTCTGTCGCTCCAGTGTTTCCAACCGGTCCATCAGTTGCTCCAGCTCCTGCTCTTGTTCCTTCTTTTGATCCTCAAAGATTCTTATCCTTTTGGAAAGTTCAGCTTCTGAATTTGCCTTGTCTTCCTTAATGGCTTCAGACTTTGCGAGAGTAGCATCCAACTGTCCTTTCAGAATTGCATACTCTTTCTGCAAGTGTTGCATTTCTAACCCTTTGTCTTTCGCCTGCTCTTCTAAGCTCTTCAGCTCTATACAAAGCTTCTGGATTTGCAGATCTTTGTCGTCTTCTGCCTTTTCCATATTTGCGATTTTATCTAATAATCTCTTCTCGTTCTCCGACTGTTCATCTACCTGTTTAACCATTTTGTGTAAGTTATTGGACAGCTCTTGTATCTCCTTTTGTTTGAGTTCTTCAGTGGCTTTTATTTGCTCCTCCCTCTGATCTCGTGCCTTTTGAACTTGCTCCAGCTCACGTTCTTTCTGTCTCTTCAGTTCTTCCAAATCTTTCACTTGCTCTGACAGTTTCTGAAGCTGCAGTTGATGCCCTTTGTGCTGCACATCCTGCCTCTGCTTCTCCTCTCTCTCCTTCTCTAAAAGGTCTGAAATCCTCAAACACCGCTCTTCCATCTCGTCCCTTTCTGTACGAAGCTTGTTTGTTTCTTCTGCTTCTTCCTGGTTCAGTCGCTCCAGTGTTTCCAACCGGTCCATCAGTTGCTCTAGCTCCTGCTCTCGTTCCTTCTTTTGATCCTCAAAGATTCTTATCCTTTTGGAAAGTTCAGCTTCTGAATTTGCCTTATCTTCCTTAATGGCTTCAGACTTTGCAAAAGTAGCATCCAACTGTCCTTTCAGAATTGCATACTCTTTCTGCAAGTGTTTTATTTCTAACCCTTTGTCTTTTGCCTGCTCTTCTATGCTCTTCAACTCTATACGAAGCTCCTGGATTTGCAGATCTTTGTTGTCTTCTGCCTTTTCCATATTTGCGATTTTATCTAACAATCTCTTCTCGTTCTCCAACTGTTCATCTGCCTGTTTAACCATTTTGTGTAAGTTATTGGACAGCTCTTGTATCTCCTTTTGTTTGAGTTCTTCAGTGGCTTTTATTTGCTCCTCCCTCTGATCTTGTACCTTTTGAATCTGGTCCAGCTCACGTTCTTTCTGTCTCTTCAGTTCTTCCAAATCTTTCACTTTCTCTGACAGTTTCTGAAGCTGCAGTTGATGCCCTTTGTGCTCCACATCCTGCCTCTGCTTCTCCTCTCTCAACTTTTCCAGAAGGTCTGAAGTCATCAAGAAGCGCTGTTCCATCTCGTCCCTTTCTGTATGAAGCCTGTTTGTTTCTTCTCCTTGCTCCTGGTTCTGCCTTTCCAGAGATTCCATCTGGTCCATCAGTTGCTCCAGCTCCTGCTCTCGTTCTTCCTGTTGAGACTCCAAGCTCCTAATCCTTCCACAAAGTTCAGCTTCTGAGTTTGCCCTGTCCACCTCTATTGCTTTGACCTTTGCGAAAGCGCTGTTTAGATGTTCTTCCATTGTTCCGCACTCTCTCTGCAGCCGTTGCACTTGTAACGTTTTGTCTTCGTTGACTTTTGTAAGTGTTTCTATTTCCTGGAGCAGTCTTTGCAGTCGTTCTTTGTTCTCTTCACCATCTTTTTCCATTCTGCTGATTCTCTGGCGTGTCTGCTTTTCCTTCTCAGCTCGCTCTTGCTCTAAAGTCTGTATCTGTTTGTGTGATTGGTCCAGTTCGCGGTGGATTTGGTGAAGTTCTGCGTCCATGTCCTGCTTCTCAGTCTGCAGAGCATCTAGGCGGCTCCTCAGGGCCTCCACCTCTCCGTCTCTCATGCCCAGCTCCAAGTTCAGCTCCTCCAGCTTCTTCTGCCACACCTCTGTCTCCTGTCTTCTCTCCTCAGCATGCAGTCTCAAGGCTTCCTTCTTTTCCTCAACACCGTCTACGAGGTCTTTATCACACCTCGCCAGCTCTGCCTTCAGACACACTATCTCTCCTATCAAAACAAATATGGAAGACTTAATGTTAAAATCAGACATTTGTAGCTCTTCAAGTGACATTTAAATAAAAAAGAAAAGGAAACCCATCACTTTGAACATCCAGAATATGCACACATGTATTGGGAAAGAGTGTGACGCTAACTGGTGTTGGTGGTAATCTCCAAAGAATAGTGGTAACAGAGTGAACTACTGCATATCACAATGTAAATGATTCATATTGGTCAATATCAATAATTATTGATTGTTTTTTTGTTTTTTTTAACCTAAATAAATACATTTGTTGTGTCGGCTATCACGTTAGCAGCCCTTGCTAATGCTGCTTTCAGACCGCCAACGCTGAAATGCTGAAGCCTCGCTCACCAGACGCACATTCTCTAGTTTTCAGACGCAGGGGTCTTCAGACCAGAAGTCCCGGCGCGCGCCGGAAGTGGCGGAAGTAGCCGGGGGGCAATGATGCTAACAGAGTTTAGCTAGCGGCTTCTTGTGTAAAGATCTTCTCCAATAATGCAGCTTTGCAGCGTGTCTGTGTTCAGAGACCTTCCACAGACTTTATTTAACAGTAGTATGTGTTCACGGAGGTGCGCAATAAGTTTTATTATTAAGCGGTACTTCCGCATCGGCGAACACGCTCGAAGCAGTTGCATAAAGTCACGGGAGCATGAAAACTCACATGAAAACCAGCACTATGTCCATTGTCAACCCTGGTTTATTCCTGGTGTAGCTCCAGTTTTGGCTGTTTACAGTATGTTCAGTCTGCTCGCTCAGACCACTAATGTCCCCGTGACCACTTTGTGGCTCTCTGGTCGCTGCACGAACGTCCCGAGGAAAGGTTGAGCAGAATTAATCTCCTGCGTGTGTCGATTTTCCGCTCCTGCTCCCCCCCCTTCGACTTTCTTGCGCAGTCCGTGCGTCTCTACTGAGCAGTCCGTGCGTGCATTCCGAGACACTCGTGCGTTTTGACGCTTGAACGCGCGTCACCATTGACTTTGCATTGAAAGCCGACGCAACGCATGATCCGGTCTGAACGCAGCATTACAGATACGGGGGAATGAGGATCCAGGCTGGAGGCATATGTTCACAGTCAAAGTATCCCCCATTATTAGTCCTGGGTTAGTCCTGGTTTAACCCTGGTTTAACCCTGGTTTAACCCTGGTTTAACCCTGGTTTAATCCTGGTTTAGTCCTGGTTTAGTCCTGGTTTAGCGAGTGTCCCTGTGACACAAGACAGAGGACAAAGTTCATCTCTTGCTTTTGCCGCATGCATCAAGTTGTTGAACCCACTGCTGCTACCGCGCACATGCTATTCCTCCCACTGACGTGCATAACCATTGACACGGCATTGAAACACAACAGCTTTAGATCCACGGACGTAACGAATGGTGCGGTGGTTTTTTATGCATTTCCCAGAATTTTTTTCGGTTCATGCTTGACCGTGATAGGTCGAGAAGCCTCTGCCTAAGTCTCATGCCGCAAGCTTCTGACTCGGCTTTACGTTCCAAGTTTTCTTCTTATTTTTTCTAACGGAGTAAAGTTAAACTATCAAACATTCTATTTGGCCTATTTTCTATTGATATCGAACAAGTGTCTATCGCAATACTGTTATCGTTTTATCGCCCAGCCCTACGTCAGAGTGATTCAAAAACACTCTCTTCTCTCTTTTTTTTTTGTAGCTGAATTTTGATGATTTTGACCAGCCCTGGGTCAGTTACCCTTTTAGACAATAACTTAGGATGTTTTTCTGCTATTATAAAATCATCATCAATTTGACCCGAGGGGAGCACGAGGGTTGACACCATGATATTTCAATGGAACCTTGTTCTACTACTTCATAATTGGGGAACCTCTTGCTGTATTACATCTTGGTGGGTTACAACAGCCACAGTGTCGACACAGTGAGCCCTTTTCAGAGTCTGCTGAAGTTGTTTTAAGGCGCAAGAGCCCTCGTCACACTCTTTACACACTAAGGCACGAGTATTTGTGTCACCCGTGTGTTGTGCTCATGTCATGATGGCCGGGTTAGAGCTAACCCCAACCCTAAGACTTAGAAATACAATCATAAGTTTAAAAACACAGATAGTCAGTCAAGCTGCATATGGAGTCACTTTGCAGGAGATATCCTATCCTCTTTGACTTCAGCTGTAGTCTGTTCATTGCTATTCGCCCGCTGTCCCATTGTCTGTTTCATGGCTTGAAGATGAGATGAATGTCCCCGGCCAGTCTATGTATAATTTCTCTGCACACTATAAATCTACTGTCACTCTGCCTCTGCTCAAGTACTACAGATGAAGATTGGCTTGTAGCTATGTCCGGTCTGAACAGTAACCCTGTCAAATAAATAAATAAATAAAATCCATAAAAATAAATACTGAAAACGGTAACATTTTCTCACAATAACTGATGTTTAAATGTTCCTACTGTGACAAACCTAGTATTGGATCTGATTTAAATTGTATCAAAACCAAGTTTAAAACAACCAATCAAGACTCCGGCAATAGAGGATGTCTGTATGGGTATTTCAAACTTTGCTCCGATTCTATTGCAGCATTGCAGCATAAAAAAAAAGTTATGCTGCTATGATAAGCAATTATCTAGTCTAGATCCTGCATTACAGGACTAGGCAACTTTTAATGGACGACATTTGAAAAGTGCATGAGCCTCACCCTGCAGCGTGCTCTTGGTCTCCTGCAGCGTCTGGACGTGGGCCTGGAGCTGGGAGGAGCTCACCTGCGCCTCCACCACCTCCTTCTGCACCTGGCTGAGCTGCTGTCTCAGAGACACACACAGAGACCTGGAAGAGTAGGACAGAACAAGGCCACAGTGAGGACGGGAGGGAGGGAAGAGGAGGTGACAGACAGATTGGATGAATACCTCAGCTGCAGCAGCTCTTGCTCCAGCCGCTCACTCTGCCTCCTCTCACTGGCCTGCAGCTCCTGGATCCTCCTGGTCTCTCTGAGGTCCTCCTCGTGGGAGGACTGCTGACTCCTCAGATGATTCTGAGCCTCCTGCAGCTCCTTCAGTAAGGCATTCTGGGAGCTGAGCTGAACACACAGGGAGATGCACTTGTAAAAAGACTGAACCAGCTCCAGTTCAAATGAACCAGACACACGTGAGGTCTAACTGACCTGTTCCCACTGATTCTGCTCCCTCCTCGATTGCTCTATACTCCTCAGCTCCTCCTCCTCCTCTTGCTGCTCCTCCTCTTGCTCCTCCTCTTGCTGGTCCTCCTCTTGCTGCTCCTCTTCCCGCTGGCTCGTGGCTCGTTCGCTCAGCTCCATCCTGAGCTTGAGGTCAGTTTGTTGTACCCGAAGATCTTCCACAAGCTCGAGGCTGGCCTTCCACTGGCACCTGCAGACATGCGCACAATGGTAGCTCCTTTCCAAAACTGTTACAAATAATTACAGGCTCCTCAAGTGGAGGGGTTCCAACCTCTCAGGTCTTGTTCATGAGTGAAGGAAGGATGGAACAAAAGGGTAAAAGGTAAAGTCACAGTTCAGAACTACCTGAGCTCCTCACACTGTTCTCCTACAACCTTTAGCTCCCTCTGCAGATCACAGAACTCTGATCTGAGCGTCTGCAGCTCTGATTGGCTGTTAGACAGGTCAGCCTCCACCTGAAACACAGCACAGCCATTTAGTAAAACATAACATAGTATATGATTTACTATGAGATCGAGGGCACAGAACTGACCTGACTGAGCTGCAGCTGGAGCTCCCTTTTGTCCGAGGCGAGAGCAGTGGTCAGGGATGACATCCTGTCCAGAGCGTCCCGTGTCTCCTCCAGCTTTCTCTGCAGCAGTGTCTCTGAAGAGGACATCTGCAGCTCCTTCGCCCTGCTCTGCAGGACAGAAGAGAGAGGACATGAAACACATCAGGCTGAGGAAGACAGTCTGAGAGAGAGGGGATGGAGAGAGAGGACAGAGAGAGAGAACAGATCGAGAGGACAGAGAGAGAGGACAGATCGAGAGGACAGAGAGAGAGGACAGAGAGAGGACAGAGAGAGAGGACAGAGAGTGAACAGAGCGAGAGGACAGAGAGAGAGGACAGAGAGAGGACAGAGAGAGGACAGAGAGAGAGGACAGAGAGTGAACAGAGCGAGAGGACAGAGAGAGAACAGAGCGAGAGGACAGAGAGAGAACAGAGCGAGAGGACAGAGAGAGAACAGAGAGAGAGGACAGAGTGAGAACAGAGAGAGTGGACAGAGAGAAAGGACAGAAACACATCAAGAAGGCTGAAGAAGACAGAGAGGACACAGAGAGAGGACAGAGAGAAGGAACAGAGAGGACACAGAGACTTCCTACAGGCATTTCACTAATCTGCATTAATTTTGACTCTTAAACAATGAAATAATTCAATGATAAAGATGAAATCTGGAGCAAGTAATAACAGGAATGAGCAACACAAGTGGTAAAAGACATTTTCAGCTAGATTTAAATCTGCATCCAACGTGGGGGGGTGTAACAGAAATCTAAGGACTGTGCTTTTTGATTGGTCACATCAAAAGGTAGGTGGGCTTGTTCATACTAAAGGGTATAAAAAACAGAAGGCCAAATTGATCCAAATACCTCTTCTGTCCATTAGTAGTTGCTAGAATAGACTGTTTTATACATTATTCAAATTTTCTATTGCGACTGTTTGTGTACCAGACGTGATCCTTTGACATTTTTTTAGATAGACAGAGACAGATTCTTTTTCTTTTACACTGGTTTACAATATGAAAGTGATTGCTTTCACATATTATTTTTGAAGAAAAATTTGACAGAAACCAACCCATCCGTTAAACATTTTTAAGGGTAATTTAAATTTTTACTGGTTATTGAAGTGATTTCCTGATGTTGTGTGAATGTTAATCTGTGGGAGTTCATCTTTGACACTGAGGACCTTTTATTTTCTTTGTCACTGAGTCACAGTAGAATTATTAAATCAGAGGCTGATTTGGTCTTTTAAAATTATGCCAAAAATGTATTAGTCAATCTTTTCTTTTGATTGTATCCACAATATCTTTGATATGTCTGTGTTTGAAATCTATGATAGGAATTTTAGTCACACCCACATAAAAAGTACCAAGAGAAGGATGATAGTACCTGTTTGAGAGCATCTCGTGTGACTGAAGACTCTTGTTCTGCCCGCTGTTTGTCCAACTGCTCCTGCTCCAGCGCCACCTGCAGGTCGCACCACTGTTAGCATAAGGCTTTAGCTGCATCCCAATTCATAACATACCTCAGCTCCTTCCTCATCTTTCTCCTTTTTATTGGTGTCAGTGGAATTCAAATTCATGAATGGGGCTTAAAGGGGGCATCAAATGTGGTTGTCCCTTGCATTTTTCAAAGTTGTTTTCAGAGCGTCACATGCGTCTTTACCTCTTAATTTCTCATAAAGGTTTTGTGTAATTTCTACAGCTGCTCCAACTGAAAAAAACATGTTTTAAAATTTACCTCCACCATGTTTTTGAATCGTTGTCATAGAATTGTCATTGACCTTTAAATGTACATGAGGCTGAGGGCTCTTCAGATCAATGCGCCATCTTGAAATACATTGGTCGATAAAGCACAAAAAGGATGCGAGAATCGTGTTTTTGTTTCACATGTGCTACTAATAACGTTGCTTTTACCATGCCCTCACAGTTATGTAAAAGAACGATCCAAACAACAACAAAATAATTATGGAAAAAATCTTGAAACCGACATCATAGCAGCAAACTGTCATCATCGCAAACTACATGCACCGAATGTAGTTAAAACAGGCACATAATGTAGTTTGTACACAGCAGACTCACACCTGAACAATACGTAACTTTCTTCACACCGACAATAATGAGAACGAGGCAGAATCTGCAACACGGGTCTCAGGTTGTTGTGACCCGCTCCGATCGCAGTCCAACTACTTTGTCACAAGTTTCAACAAAACTTATTCAGGGACAAGCCTCAAATAAAACACACAGAATACCGTTTATCAACAGCGTGAGTGTGAATGTTGTTTTCTTGGCGCCGTGGCTACAGCTAATAATAATCTGAGCTTTTAGCCAGTTCTGCCTCTGTGTATGTATGCCCATGTCCAAGGCAAGGTCCTGGCTTCTCTGATCATAGAGGGTTTAAGTTCCACTTAAACCCTCCGTCTCGTCACACCACGTTTTAAAACCCCAGAACCTCTGTGCAGCGCGAGTGCCGCTTCAGAACGCAGAACGACAAGTGACCAAGAGAGATCTGGTCATTTATCAAACTAAAAGATTCTTTCCTTGGCGTTGGAGACCACTGTCAAAGATGACATATCATCCTTCCAAGCTTCCGAGGTACCAAGGGTACGATATATGATCTCAACGATAGATGGGAGTAAAAACTACACAGTGTACCTTTAAACATTGTGCATAAAAAGATAAAAAACCATGATACTCTGCTGTCACATTTCAGTGCAGTGGTTCACAAAGTAACATACATTTATTTATTTATCATGGATTGCCCATTGAGATGAATCATCTCTTTACAGCAATGTCTCCCTTGTAATGAGAAAATAAAGCTATAGTTCTTGAAATAAGACTCAATGACTGTGTCCCATTTGTCAATCTCGTTTTAATAAAGTCACAATGTGCTTAAATTAAGATAAAAACCACTCGATTCAAGAAATGATACCTCCTACTGATTTTTTGCAGTGCAACAACAGTGCAACAATGACTTGTGTGACACTTCAGTACTTTCAATATTACTCTGCAGTGGAGGTTTGTTTTAGGGGGTAACTGCTCAGACAGAAGCATCTTCTTTAAAATTAACTTGACCAAATCTGGAGCTGTCAATCTGAAGGACAAGGAAAGAGGTATGTTTCTGAATATGGAAAAAGATGTTGGTGGCTGTAGAAGAGAGTGTGAGACCTTGAGATTGTGGATCTCCTGCTCCTTCAGCTGGACCTGCTCCGCCAACTCCTGCTCCACTCTGCAAAAGACAAAGCACTGTTACATTTGATGGAAGTCATAATATATGCAAAACAAATGCATAACATTCACTACAAGTCATAATTACTTGTGATTAAAAATAGCCATAAGTGTGAGAGATTTTTTATTTTTTTTTTATCTTTATTTGAATTGGAACAGTGCATTTGGAACCTCCGAATCAAGCCTCTATTAGGCTCTGGACCTACATGAAAACTGAACAAAGAATTCTGAACAGCTGCAATGAGTTACCTTTGTATATACTGAACCTATATCCATAATCAGATCCTCTGCAGATGTGTCCTATAATGTGCAGTTCATGATAATAGCTTCTTCCGGGTTTGCCGCGATCGTTTTTTGTGCATTAAAAAAATCATTTTTTTCATTAAAACGTTAACAAGTAATTCTGAAAACCTCCATGCATGTGTATTAATAATGTATATGTATGATGTGTTCTCTGATTAACATTTCAAAGTGTTACGGAAACGTAGGTGTAGACCAATCAGAAAGGAAGGGGGAGGGAGCTTGCAAATCAATTTTTTCAAATCAAGAACCTCTCTGTCTCTCTTTCTGACAAACTCCAATCACTTTAATCAACATATGGCTTTCAACATGTAAATGTACCAGAGTTAGCCATGTAGGCTAATTATCATTTGTAGTCCTGTGGCAGGTTGATATAAAAACAGATAAAATACACATACAATTGGCACAATTGGCACAAACACACAAACACACAGACACACACCATCACAAAGACATAACAAAACAGGGTATGTACAGTAAAATAGATTATTTGGCTCAGATAAAAGATCAGATAAAATACACAAAACACCACAATTCTCCACTCAGCAAGGTATCAGTAGTTGTGACTAGTCCATGTTCGGTTCACATTTCTGATTGTCCACAAGAAACTTCTTTACAGAAATGTTAAAAGTGTGGATCGAGGTCAGGTTCCTCAGTTCTGTCAGGTTCAAGTTCCAGGAGAGTGCTGCTCGAACTGAGAAGGCAGATTGTCCAAATAAAGTCTTTCTAAATGGGATTTAACAGTCTCCTCTGCTTGATGAACGTGTGTTTGAGTTTACATTCAGCTGTATAAACTCATGCAATGGTGGTGGGGCAAGTCCATTTAGAGTTTTATAGACCATAATTACGTCAGAATACGTTAGCAAATTATCCCACTTCAAGAAATGATGTTTGGTAAAGACTTTACAATAGTGATAAGAATTGTTCTTTTTGTCTAATGTTTTACTGTCTGCTTATAAAGTCTTTCTATGTGGCCCATAGAACTCGTCACACAGTAATTCATATGCAAGAGAATTGTGGCGTTTAAGTACAGTTTTGAAGCCTCAGTTGCTAAGTTATTATTTGTACCTGCGATGGGCCTGTCCCCTCTCGTCCTGGTCCTCCTCCTCCCTCTGCCTCTCCAGCCGGTCCTGGTCCCGGTCCCTCTCCAATTGGGCCCGGTCCCTCTCCAGCCCCTCTGCTGTGAGTTGCAGCTGCTGGAGTTCATGCTGCAGGCTAGTGCTGTGCTTCTGCTCCCTGTCCCACAGCCACATGGACAATCAACCAAACCGCACGGATTTACATTCAAATATTTCTAGAAATCCATTTTGGGCTGTAGTTTTGTAACCCGCCTCTGACTTTACTGATGAATCATTTATTATCATTGTACAGTAATACAACAACACGCCATTGAAGCAAACCACCGCTGTGGTTACATGTAAACATTTAACTCAACAGTAAAAAAAGTAAAAAATAAATAAATACATACAATGCATTGTGCCACAGATCTGTCTATTCAGAAACATAATATCGCACTTAGTCTCTTCAGGCTTTTTATTTGACTGAAGCATGCTGCGTATGGTCAGTTGGCTGAGGGAAGTATGGTAACTTGAGCACTACCCTCTCCTCCTTTCTACTTTATCTTTCTGCATTGATAGGATTTAAACAGTACTCTGTTCATTACTATTCACTCTTCCCATTGTCTGTTTCATCTGGCTCTGTCTTTTCTTGGGTTAAGGTTATGTTAAAAACAGCACTTGAGGTTCCCTTGAAATCTAGTGCAATATATGTGAAATGGGTAACATTTTAAATCATCCCTCACTAATTATCAGGAAATTCATTGCTAATTAGCATGAATCATAACCCCAAACCTAAACCGCATGGTAAAGTGTCAGTTAGTAATTAGTTAGATGTTGAATAAGGCCATGTAGAATAAGGACGAATACGTGCCTAATAAGTACAAATTAAGAGATAATTCAGAATCAGAATCAGAATCATTTTTATTGCCACGTAAGTAACAGGAGGTCACAGACTAGGAAATTGCTTTGGCTCAGTGCAACAGTCAAAAAGAGATAATAAAAATAAGAATAAAAAACACTTCTAAAGAATAAATTTAAATTTAAAATAGAGTTACAGTTACTATTTACAATATACAAGTGCACATGGTGCACACAATGTAAGGTGACAGCAGTACAGTGAAGTAAAGTGACTTTATAAAGGGCAGTAAAGTGACTTTATAAAGGGCGGGGGGACAGGTTAAGAAGTGTTCAAGAGTCCAACAGCAGAGGGGAAGAAACTGTTCTTGTGGCGGGAAGTTCTAGTCCTGATGGACCGCAGCCTCCTGCCTGAGGGGAGTGGTTGGAATAGTCCATGTGCAGGGTGAGAGGGGTCGGCTGTGATACGACCAGCCCGGCCTCGAGCTCGGGCGACGTACAGGTCCTGCAGCGATGGAAGGCTGCGGCCGATCACTTCCTCTGCAGAGCGCACAATGCGCTGTAGTCTCTGTTTGTCCCTGACTGTGGCTCCAGCGAACCACACGGAGACGGAGGAGGTGAGGATGGACTCGATGATGGCCGTGTAGAACTGCACCAACATCTGTGCAGGCAGCTTGGCTTTCCTGAGCTGCCGCAGGAAGTACATCCTCTGCTGGGCCTTCTTGATGAGGGAGCTGATGGTCGGCTCCCACTTGAGGTCCTGGGTGATGGTGGTGCCCAGGAAACGGAAGGACTCCACAGAGGTGATGGGGGAGTCCATCACGGAGGGTGGGGGTGGGGGGACAGTGCTCTTCCTGAAGTCCACAATCATCTCCACTGTCTTCTGGGCGTTCAGCTCCAGGTTGTTACCACTGCACCAGGACACCAGCCGGTCCACCTCCCTCCTGTAGGCGGACTCATCGTTGTTGGAGATGAGTCCAATGAGGGTGGTGTCGTCCGCGAACTTGATCAGCTTCACGGAGTCGTGGCTGGAGGTGCAGTGGTTGGTGTACAGGGAGAAGAGCAGGGGAGAAAGAACACAGCCCTGTGGGGCTCCTGTATTTATAATCCGAGAGTCCGAGACATTCTTCCCCAGACGCACTCGCTGCTTCCTGTCCGTCAGGAAGTCAGTGATCCACCTGCAGGTGGAATCGGGCACGTTGAGCTGGGAGAGCTTGTCCTGGAGCAGGGATGGCAGGATTGTGTTGAAGGCAGAGCTGAAGTCCACGAACAGGACCCTGGCGTAGGTCCCCGGGGAGTCCAGGTGCTGTAGGATGTGGTGGAGGGCCAGGTTAATGGCGTCGTCTACAGATCTGTTGGCTCTGTAGGCGAACTGCAGGGGGTCCAGGAGGGGGGAGGTGAGGGACTTGAGATGGGAGAGAACCAGGCGTTCAAATGACTTCATGAACGACAGACGTAAGTGCTACAGGTCTGTAGTCATTGAGTCCTGTGATCCTGGGCTTCTTCGGGACGGGGACAATGATGGAGGATTTGAAGCAGGCCGGGACATGGCAGGACTGCAGAGAGGTGTTGAAAATGTCCGTGAACACAGGAGTAAGCTCACTGGCGCAGTGTCTCAGAGTGGCCGGAGACACGTGGTCCGGGCCAGGAGCTTTGCGGGGGTGCAGCCTCAGGAAGAGTTGTTTAATCTCTTTAGCGGCTATTGTTAGGCTGGGGGCAGGGCTGATGGGTGGGTCGTTAGAGTAGTGGGGGGGTGGGGGAGGGAGAGGTGTCAGGGGCAGCATCAAAGCGACTGAAAAATAAGTTCAGATCGTCAGCTAGCTTGTGGTCGTCAGCACAGGGGGGGGGGCTTTGGGTTTGTAGTTGGGATCTCCCGTAGGCCCCTCCAGACAGAAGCAGTATCGTTGTTACCAAACTGCTCCTGTAGTCGTTCTCTGTGCCGGGACTTGGCTGCTTTCAGTTCTTTCCTGAACTGATATTTAGCTGCTTTGTAGCCGCTGCGGTCCCCCTCCCTGAAAGCAGACTCCTTTGCTTTCCTGAGCTGCCGGAGTTTAGCAGTGAACCAGGGTTTGTCGTTGTTATAGATGACCCTGGTCCTTGTTGGAATGATGCTATCCTCGCAGAAGTGAATGTATGACGTCACAGTGTCCGTGTATTCATCCAAACTATCTGTGGCAGCTCTGAAAAGGTCCCAGTCTGTAGATTCCATGCATGCGCGCAGCTCTTCCACAGCTTCATCAGACCACACTTTGGAGCTCCTCATTGCAGGTTTCGAGAGCTTTAGTCTCTGTCTGTAAGCAGGAACCAGATGTATCATGGAGTGATCTGAGAAGCCGAGGGCTGGCTTGGGAACAGCGCGAAAAGCTCCGCGCACGGTGGTGTAACAGTGATCCAGAGTGTTCTCCTCTCTGGTCGGGCATTTGATAAACTGTCTGTATTTGGGTAATTCCTGGCTCAAGTTTCCCTTATTAAAATCCCCCAGGATAATAATCAGAGAGTCCGGGTATAAGCGTTCCATACACAGTACTTGCTCTGCGAGTGCGCGCTGAGCCTCGCGCGCGTCCGCGCATGGCGGTATGTAAACAGAGGCAAGAATGAATGAAACAATTTCGCGCGGGGAGTAATATGGTTTACAATGAATGAAAAGATATTCCAGAGCAGGAGAACAGTGCTTGGAGATCACTGTCACATCGTTACACCAGTTTGTATTGACGTAGAAACACAGCCCTCCGCCTCTGCTCTTCCCTGAGAGCGCACAATGGCGATCCGCGCGGAACAGCCCAAAGCCCTGCAGCTCCAGAGCGCAGTCCGGGATCCGCTCATTTAGCCAGGTCTCAGTGAAGCAGAGGACACAGGATGTGGCGAAGTCCTTGTTTCTTCTCATGAGCAGGCTGAGTTCGTCCATCTTATGTCCCAGTGAGCGTACGTTGGAGAGAAAAATGCCGGGGAGAGCCGTGCGCGCTCCTCTCCTCCTAAGACGCACGAGCAGGCCTCCGCGCTTTCCCCTTTTACGGGCCCAATCAGCCGCAGATGCCAAGAAAACAGGCAATAGGTCCATGGGAACGGTGGGTCGGATGTTCATAAGTTCCTCACGGGTGTAGGAACAGCCAGATGCGCAGTTAAAAAGTAAAAACAAAAGAAAAAGAGAGCAGCAAAGAGCCATGTCGACCGTACGAGGCGCCATCTTTGTATCTTTTACAATTTAATTAATCATCATTTAAATAGTAAATAACACTTAAATATCTGTTAATTAGGGGCTGGTGCTCTGTGTACTGGGTACAGGTCTGACTGCCACCCCCCCGACCCAGAAATGGATTAAGGGGAAGAAAATGGATGGATGGATATCTGTTAGAGAGGGCTAATCTAAAGTGTGACCACGGAAAGTTGAAGCTGTAGTAAGAGTGGTGTAGGGGACCTGTGGAGGAGGTCCTGGGTCTCCTGGAGCCTCCTCAGGGTGAGGGCCTGCTCCTGCTCCTCCTGGGAGCAGCGTGTCCGCAGGTGTGAGACAGACGCCTCCAGAGTAGCTCTCTGCTGCTCCAGCTCCCGCCCTCGCTGCTCCAGAGCCTGCCACACACACAGCACAGGTGACTATGTTTGTACTTTAAGACCTGATGCAAGGTTTCTATTAGAAATAAAGTTTTTATACCGCTTTATTTTGGAAAGAACTACTACTAAAAATCATTTGGGTTTTTTCTGTCCAATCACCCCAAATCGAGAAAACACCATAGCAACGGCCTTAGCAACGAGAAAAAGACAAACCAGCACTTCTCGCTCGGTGACGTCTCAGCGGGAACCCATGAACAGGGAGATGAGGAAGAGGGCTACACACGTGTTGAGGAAGACGAGGAGGATGGACTAACACCAAACTGTTTGTCATAACTTTGTTCATAATGGAAATGGAATCATTATGGAACATCAGTGGAAACGCTATAGCGAGCGGCGCCAGGACTTACCATGGATCTATTATAATAGATCTGTCAGGATTCCGCTACATTAACTCGCATGAATACGTTGATTTGATTAACTCATTGGCTGCCGTCCTAAGATGTTCTATTTTTAGAAGCGCTGACTTTTTCATGTTTTGACTCAGGGCATTATTATAATGACTGGCCCACCATTTGATATCGAAATCAGCCAGTACGTGTAATGATCAGTCGACATCTATAAAGTGCAGTATTGCCCCACCGGTGGGGTCAGATATCAGCAGAGGGGAGAGAGGAATAGATGGAACATGGATCTATTGATAGCGAGAGACAGCATGGCGATCATAGATCATGGCAAAACGAAAGAGACAAAGAGTTAACGTTAAAACATTGTCGGAGATGTGTGAAAATTGCATTTTTGAGATTGTAAAAAAAATAATTCTGAGGGAGGCTCCAAAAACCCCCTTTCCATTGCGGCCCCACTGGTGTATGCAATTTGTTTATATGTGTGAGTGCTCGCTGACAAAAATTTCAGTGAAGTTGTGTAAGTCAGTCCGTTGATTATGACGTTTTTATTGTTGTTAATTTAATGGCGGTTGGACTGCACTTTTCACACATACAGGTCCTAACAAATTGTCAAAGAAATGTTCCCTGTATAAGAGGCGTTTTTGAACGTGTATATGCGTCAAATTGCTATCCAAGCGTCTCATCAGGGTCTGATTTCGGTTCTGCGTTTGCCTCTTCTCTTTGTTCGAGGAAGCACCTGCAATTGTTTGTGTGTGTGTGTCTAACCTGCAGTTGTGGGACTGTGTATAACTGACCTGCAGTTGTGTGACTGTGTATAACTGACCTGCAGTTTCAGCTGGTGCCTCTGGAGGGTGCTCTCAGTCTGACTGATGACCCCCAGCAGAGAGGACAGGTCCTGGGACAGCAGCCCTTCAGTGTACACAGGTGATTGACAGCTCAGGAGGCGAGCCTTACAAAAACCAAAAAGCAGTGTGAGGACTTCAGCCAATGAGAGGGCGGAAGAGGGAGCACACAGGAGCCAATCACGTACAGCCTGGTTTTACCTTCTACCTTTAACCCTGATCACTGCCGGCAACTATCCACAGACTCCAGGTGGAACTGAAGACTCGCATCATCACCCGGACCCCCACAACTGCACTGGCTTCCTTTTAAACAGCGCATCAACTTCAAAATACTCCTCACCACTTTCAAAGCACTTCACAACCTGGCCCCCCGTACTTATCTGACCTCCTCCACCCTGCCACTCCGCTCCTCCTCCACGCTCACACTCTCCGTCTCCCCAGCCAGACTCATCACCGTAGGACACAGAGCCTTCAGCTGTTCTGCCCCCCAGCTCTGGAACTCTCTCCCCCCTGACCTCCGTACCATTGACTCTCTCCCACTCTTCAAATCCAGACTCAAAACCTATCTATTCAGACTGTCCTACCCACCTAACACACACGAACCCACCATTCCATATTGTACTTTACTGTTTTATTCTGCTGTTTTTATTATTATTATTTATTTATATAAATATAATATATTATTATTATTTATTATTTATTTATTATATTTTTATTATGCTCTGTACAATGTCCTTGAGTGTTTAGAAAGGCGCTTTTATATTAAATGTATTATTATTATTATTAAGACCTTTTCACTAAAACCTGCACATGACTCACACGTTCATAAATCCTGCTTTGGATCTTGCATATTTGGAATATACACCCAAGATGTACACACTTTTCTGTGCAAGTTTTTTTGAAATGAGGGCCATTAAACTACATTTGAGGATCAAAAAAAAGCGGGGAGTCAGTTGCATCAGTTACACAGTGATGTGGATGTGGCTCACCAGGCTGAGCAGGGCAGTGCTCACGGAGACCAGGACAGACCGGCTCTCTCTCAGGCTGTCACACTCTTGTCTCTCCTCCGTCAGACACAGGGTGGCGCTGTGCAGCCTGATCCAACACAGAACATGGAAAGTACACACAAAAGCCAAATGTAATATACTGTATATTAGCATGGATGGGATGTAGCTTATGTTTTTGATGAGGGAACGATATTGTAACACAGTTAATAACTCAAAAATAGAATGTTCAAACGTATAGTGCTAGTTTGTCCTGGACACTCACTCCTGCTTCAGCCGCTCCATCTCACAGTCCTCTTGGACCTGTGTGCTCTCCACAGGAGCCAGCTCATCCAGGTGGAAGGTCCCCCACGACTCAGAGGAGAGCAGGCCCATGGAAGGATGAGAGGGAGAGGGGGGAGAGGGCGGAGGGGGGTGAGTGGCCATGGTGGAGGTTAGGGGAGGAGAGGGGTGATTGGCCATAGTGGAGGTTAGGGGAGGAGAGGGAGGAGGAGAGGGGTGAGTGGCCATAGTGGAGGTTAGGGGAAGAGAGGGATGAGTGGTCAGCAGAGGCAGAGTAGGGGCTGAGGACAAGTTCTCAGTGCTCTGGGGGAGGGCCGCCCTGAGGGAGCTGCTGGACAGCACAGATGTGGACAGAGCAGACAGGTCGACACGCAGCTGCCACAGATCTCTGAACACACAAGCAACAGGATCAGCTCTGGATCACAGACGTATATGTACATTCAGATTTAAACATGTTAGGACCAGTTGAAATTGTGCAGAGTTTAAAAATACAAACAAAAAATATATAAAGTAATTTAATCAAAACAACAAATGAAATAGTTTATCTATTGAAACAAAAGTAAAACAAATCAACAAGATGTTTATTTCAACACAATGTTAAAGGTATATTGGAGGATTTTACACTTCTGGGTGGATCATGGAGACTATTGGTCCTTCCAATTGTCAATCATTCTCGGGATATGTGCTTGTCATATAAGACCAGAGAGTTTTTCAAAAAGTGGAGAGGGAATTCTTTCTTTGGGAAAATCCTCCTTCATACGTTTAAATCCTAAGTCCATAGCTGAAAAATACTGCAATATCTTCCACTCTTGCTCAGAAAACATAATCAACTCCTCACTTTCCTCTAGCTGCGTCTGATCCACCCTCAACCTCACTGACATTACCCCCATCTTTAAGAAACCTGGATTCAATCTCGACACCCTTTCCTACTACCAATCCATCTTCCTATGAAAACTGATGGAGTCACCACTCCCTGTACTAAGTTCATACAAGGAAGTCTCAGCCCGCTGCTCTTACTTTTGTACATCTACCCTCTGTCTCTAAATCTTAACACTGTCTTCAGGTTCACCGTTTGGCTGAAAGCAATAAACTCTATTTACAGGTGAAACTTAGAGAATTAGAATATCAGAAAAACTTGTCTATAATACAACCTAAAATGTGAAACTACCTTATGACATGGACTCAGGGCAGTGACATCTGTCCATATCATCCCACTAAGCAAGCCGACGTTGAATCAACGTAATTTGAACGTCGTTGTCCGACGTAGAATATAGGTCACTGGTGGGTGCAGAATGAAAGTTTTCTCGACGTCGTTTCCCGACGTCACCTCAACCTCCAAATGTTACGTTGATGGCACGTCAATTCAAGGTTTGAATGTGGTACGGAACCGGTCGGGTCTGACGTCCTATCAACGTCTCATATGACCAAAATATTCACGTTTATATGACGTTCGTTTTCAGTCGTTCCCACTAAGCAAGCAGATGTCAATACAACGTAATTTCAACGTCATCTGGACGTTCATTCAAGGTTGCAATGTGGTACAGAACCGGTCGGGTCCGACGTCCTATCAACGTCTTATATGACCAAAATATTGCCTTCATATGACGTTCGTTTTCCGTTGTTCCCACTAAGCAAGCAGATGTCAATACAACGTAATTTCAACGTCATCTGGACGTTCATTCAAGGTTGCAATGTGGTACAGAACCGGTCGGGTCCGACGTCCTCTCGACGTCTTATATGACCAAAATATTGACGTTTATATGACGTCCATTTACAGTCCTATTGACCTACTTAACCTCTGCAGAATCACTCACTGGTCGAGACATACTTTTTGCAATAGGCAAGGCAAGTTTATTTGTATAGCACAGTCAAAACAAAAGGAAACTCAAAGCACTGAACAAAAGATAGAAACAATCAAACAAGGCATTACAATTATAAATATTGACAGTAAATTAAAAAGATACAAATAAAATCTCTCATAAAATCTCTCAGTTGAAGCAGAAACAGAAGTGTTTTAAACCTGGATTTTAACATTGTCAAAGAAGAAGCCTGGCTCACATTTCCAGGAAGACCGTTCCAGATTTTAGCCTTGTGAATCTGAAATGCAGCTATATCATGTTTAGTTCTGACTCTGGGCAATAAACGATAAACACAGCATTCAAAAATCATTAGAACAACTGTAGTAGAAGGATATCAGTCATTACTGCAAATGGAGCTGCATTAAAAATCATGTTTCTCTACATCAAAGTACAAGTTAAAGCACACAGGGCACAGTGTTATGAACACTACTGTACTGAACAGTTCATGCCAAAGTAAAAAAACATGATTGTAGCGCCTATGTTTGGATCAGTATTAAAACAGGCACAAGCTACACTCTAGGTTCCCCAGATGTAAAAACACAATCTGAAAGGCAGAAGAATGCATTTATTGAATGTTGAGGTTCCAACATGTGTCCTCTCTTGGTCTTCAGTCTCTCATCACAAGGTCCAAGCACAGCACCTGAAAATGTGGAACATGTTTAGTTTCAACATAATGTGGCAAAGTGATATAACAACACATAACTTTCTATTAATGCCTCAAACCACTCGATCCATCACCATGTGATACAAACCTTGGCACTGCACTAGCTCGAGACACTGGAAGACACTCCGTCTGAGAAACTTGGGATAAGGCTTTGGTCATTGGAGTAATTCCATGTAAAAAACAATTGCAAATGTGCATTTGTTTTGCACATGGACAAATGAGCCCTGAAAGCTACTTACCCTGTATTACTCTACACATGTTGCATTTCCGAGGGGGCATTTTCCCCTTGTTGCTCTTTTCCCTCATCTTGAGTGAGTTGCTGAACAATCTGAGAAAAAGATAGATGTTTTCAAAGAGAATACACCAAATAATGGTTTATTCTAAAAACAACATAATAATACAGAAGAACAATCAATGTGTGAGAGTGTGATTCTTACCTTTGAACACCTTCAACACAGTCTGACACCTGTAAGACTCAAACACACATGACACATTAGGAATACACACAGAACATTAGTTATTGCAACAATCATGAAATTATACTCTATGGATTTCACAATAATTGACTGCATTAGCAAAGGTAAATGTATTTTAATTAACATATGGCTGGTTTTAAAGTTTATAAGAAAAAGTAAGAAATTGAATAGAGTTGCAAGCGCTAGTTAGCTTGCTACCAGCAGATGAATGGATATTTAATATTTGCAGCTAACAATAACAAAAATAACAACTGTAGTGGCTCATTTAAACAGCCACAGTGAGAAGAAGTGAAAGTCTCTGACATTGAAGACCTGGGAAGACATTAAATCAATTTATTAAACAAAGCAATACATGAACATTAAACTCTCTTTCTGCAGCAGGTAACATCTGTGTGCTCCTATGGTCCCACATGGTCCCACATGGGCCCACACCTGAACTCAACTCCAACTGATGACATCACAGGTGTCTAAATGATGGGAGTGTCCCAAATATTAAAGCTGATCTCCCTGTTTTTAAACTTAGTTTACTAAGTACTGTTGTCTTTTTGCAGTTTATAAACCATTGTGAAATATACAGTAACTTTACATTTTAGAATTGAATTATTATTTTAAAACTCAAGAATCTTAACCTTTTTTAACACATAGTTTGTTGGACAGTCTAACCTAAGCATTCTAATGTGTTAAAAATAGTTTGAAATATGAAAAACAATATCATATTTTAAACTTTAACTTAAAAACTAAAAAAAGGTGTCTCCCTTTCAGCTGAGCAGTGCCAGCCGTTATTATTATAGATTAATGCACTGGCAATTCAAAATACAGATAATATACAAAATATACTTAACAAAATCCACGTATACGTGAGAAAACAACTTAATTTCTGTCTCCAACTCTTTTCAATGTGGAAATGATACATCTATATCTAAAAACTGTGCAGACTGTGTACTTACTAGAGAGGGTGATTCCAAGTAAATAAAGCAGGGCAGCGACAGAGGTACAGATTCAACGTCATATATCAACGTCTGGGAAGGCATTGCTTTACGTCCAGATGCACACCTTACGTCGTTTAGACGTGGAAAACAGGTCCTCGACCGAGCGACTCACGTGTCAGGCTGTAACCTCGCGTCGTTTGTTTAGGGTGTTATCTATTATTTTTCCCAGTAGTCAAGAAACATGCCTGGCGGTGGTGTAGCGGTTGCGTAATGAGACTTCAGTCGCAACGACGCGGGTTCGACTACCCATCGGACATTTTTTGACTTTTCACTTTTTAGCGAACAATTTTTCTGTTTGGTTAAAAACGAATAAACACTCAACATAAGATTATGTAGTGGCTAATAATAAAACTTGTGAACCCATGCATTTGCATAAAATCTCAAGTGCTCACCCCTTATTTGCAAACTTGAGATTGTTAGCACAACAAATGCATACATTCACAAGTTTTATTATTAGCCACTACATAATCCTATGTTGAGTGTTTATTAGTCTTTAACCAAACAGAAAAAAATTGTTCGTTAAAAATCAAAACAAATATGTAAAGATAATAATACACACACGTGGGCTCGAACTCACGTAACCAAGGCTGCACACATCTGCTTAACCACTACACTACCGTCAGGTACATTTACACTGCTTCACAGCCTATATATTGTATCGCTAGATCAAGACGTACTGCGTCGGTCGGCCGATGACCTGTTTTCGACGTCTAAGGGAGGTCGGGATTGAACGTCATATCCACGTATATGGGAGGTCATTGTTTTACGTCCAGATGCGCACCTTGCACAGACGTCGTTTGGACGTAAATAAAAGGTCACGACCGACCGACGCGATATTGACGTGATCTGGAGGTTGAGTGGACGTTGGATGTTTAGTGGGATATACTAGTTCTATAAGTAGTGTACAAGACAAGTACATTTGATTTGTATCGCAGAAATACATTTTTCTCAATATACTAATTTTCTGAGTTTTACCTGTATGCACAAAATCCATCAAAGCTGCCACTCCCTGGACTTTCACCACCTGCATCTCTGAAATAAAACCACCTCCAACCTCAGGATGTCTGACCAATGCCTGACAATCTACATTATTTCAAAATAAAAAGTTGTGGTCATTCACCAAAAATAGCTGTGCATTAACATGTATGTGTAGTTGTCTCATTAAAGAGTTTCATTACCATTTCTTTTCCATTTTTAAACTCTTAGAACTTTTTTCCTTGCATTTATTCTATTCGTCTAAACCTACAGGGGAGCCAGCGAAACACCAGTCTGGTCCTCACCTGTCTGAAGATGACCTCAGCGTGTGGCAGTGGCGTTTTAGCATGACCACGTTCCTCCACAAAGACAGCAGCGACCCCTGGAAGTGGCTTTGCACCGCAGCACAGCTCTGAAAAAAGCAGTGAGCAAAGTTTGAAACATCCCTATCCATGATGTCATAGTCTGAGGATTTGTCAGTGATCAGACAGAAGGGGCGAGGATGTGTGTCAAAATAAGCAAAAGTGATATCCACTCAGCCACCATGCCACTTTACAACTTTTATGGTTTTGAAATGGTCTCCTATAAATTATGTAAAAACAATTACTACCAAGAGTGCAAGAGTGAAATCCACTACCCACAATCTACCCTCATCAAGAGAGAAATCAACTGCACACCTCTCTCTCTCGTAGCTCCGCCTCCCTTACGGCTCGGGACCAATCAGTAGTCAGCTTCACTTGGTCCTCTCTCAGCATGGTGTTGCTCTGCTCTGATCGGCTGAGTTGCTCCTGGAGACGAGTGTTGGTGTGGGCCAGAGCCTGGGCCCTGAGGTTAAGAGATTAAAGGAGACAGAGGAGGCCCCGATGGTCAGAAACTATCCCAAAATCACATTCACAAGTTCAAAGTATGTGTGAACCTTAAAGCAGACTGGAAAAGGACACCATCCACAGGCAGAGGTACAAATTCCCTTTTCATCAAATGTAAACAATAGATTTTGTTTCTGAGCTCCTCTCTATGATATTGTTCCACCCGTAATATTTATCATTGAAATAAGGGCTGCCATTTAGGAATCGCAACAGAGAGTATTTTCAAAAATCAAGACAATAAATCAAACAAAGCTTTTTAGATAAGCTTTTGATTAGTACTTATAATTTGTTACAGCATCTATCTGTTTTAGAATAAAGTGCATTAAAGCTGCACTAACTGACTTTATTTTTGTATTCATTACAAAAATGCTATCCATGTCCATGCAGTGCATTGGGATATACGTCCTTTTGAAGAAAAAGTAGCGCAGGGTTGTGCTGATTTTAGATCGAGTTTTGATGAAACAAGGAAGAGAATGTGTTTCGGGTTGCAGATTGTGACCAATCACAGCGGACCACAAGCCCCCACTTTCGTGAGAAATCTACAGGTCCATTAGCATAGACGGCTGAGTTAGCACAACAAGCGGCGGAGCTAACCCGAAGCTTCCTCGTCTTCGTCACCGGTTACTGCTTACTCAGCGAAACAGCCATCCACAAGAAAGTCTCGTTCCTCCGCGCTTCCCGGTTCTATCGTTCTATGGTCACGCCATCCACGTGCAAATCCATATTCATGGATTTATCCATATTGAGAGACGCTAGCTCCGTCAACAACAGCGGGTGTGTGTGGGGGGAGATAGCTTCGTGTGTGCGGGGAGGGGAGCAGAAAGAGCGAGGCCAGCGGGTCTGCGGCTTCAAAATCCCAAAGTCAGTTAGTGCAGCTTTAAATGAAGCAATAATTGCAGAATTGTTGATAATCTGTTGTTACATCTCTAATTGAAACACAAAATATTGGCGCATAGCTCAATGACCCCCAAAGGATGCCTTAATCTCCAAATGTTTGATATTTCTAAATCAAATTTGATTTGAAAATACTTAAGATACTTTATAAGCTGCTAGAATGTTAATGTCCATCTTAGATCTTAATATATACAGTATAGACTCATTTCAATAACAAGAATAGAGATAAACGCCTTCTCTCCAGCGTTACTTCAGAATGAGATTATCAGTTTTTGTGTACCTCTGCTGCGCCTCCTCCAGCCTGATGAGGGCGCTCTCCAAATAGTGGCTGTGTTGGTCTTGGAGCCTGTGCTGTTGGATACAGTTCAGAGTCAGGGATCTCCAGAGACTAAATTGAATCAGAATTAGTGACGTTCAAATTGGGATGAATGTTGGTTTAATGACATTGTTTCTGAAGTTTAACACACAGCCGCTGAATATTTTTGTCAAATATTTGAATCTCTTTCCACTGTTTGTTGTTGATGTTTCTACAACTTGGCTGGAGCCCAGTCAAGTTGTGCTCAGTGGCGGGAGCTTTAACAGACAGGTGTGTCTCTTTCCAAGTTAAACCAGAAGAATTGACCACAGCAATCTTGAGATATAATGCAAGACCCAATATGTAGTGTATTGCAAGTAGATTGATAGAGAAAAATAGAATTGGATACATATTGGTATAAGCCTGTAGCATCGTGAATTGTAGAAAAAATGATAGATTAGTTCTCTTTCATAGTATTCGATTCGATGTCTCACTATGGGAAATGCCCCCTCGGGTGTTCACAGAAGCCCTATACCACCACTGCCAGCCCTGAGTGGCTGGCAGTAGTGACGTCGCAAATAGGTTTTCCATCACTTTTCCACAACTACCTCCAATCCAGCTCAACCATTTTTTGCTTTCATCAGCAAATGGAGACAGTCATGTGAAACGTCTAATAGGAGTCCATAGTTTCAAATGTGTTTCATTCCAGCTTTAAACCCAGAGCCATGAGGTCAGAGTCACAAATGCATCAACTTTAGCACATATTCATAAATAAGGAAAATGATGGGTGCATATAATTACTGCACTTCAGAAGGGGAGCTCACAGGGACAGGTCTGACCTCTGTACTGATGAGCTGACTCTGCTCCTCTTGGACCTGGACCTCCAGATGCTGGACCCGGTCTCTGTACTCGAGGATCTGAAGGACACAGAGCAGCTTTAGAACAGACTCCACACAGGCTCCTGGCTCCTGCTGATGAGTCATGAACAAACGGTGTGAACGGTTCCTGTTAGATTCGAGTAAACTTAATTCTTTGATCATAAATGACTTCCACCAACGACCTGTAATCATTCATACCCTTTGGAAAATGGGCAAGAATCTTTACCAAATTGGAACCAGATTCAGTAATAAGAATTGAAAGCAAATTGTGTTTAAGTGTTTTGGTCTATGTAAAAAGGAAACTCATAACATAATCATCAATATGAAGGGTGATTCAATGTTGGGAAGGACATTGCTCCAGACTTTGTGTGAAGAGCCGTGTGTGAGACTCAGACCTTGTTCTGCAGCCGGTGGATGTGCAAAGCCTGACGCGCCTCTCGTTCCCGGGCCTCCCTGTTCTTCCTCCTGCAGTCCTGGTGTTCATCCTCCAGGGGGAGCAGCGACTGGGAAAGCTGTCACACAGGAGCCCACATCAGCACCCCCATAACAGGTGTGTGGTGTGTGCATGTACCTACAGTCTATGTGATGAACAGGGGAGCTAACCCAGCAGCTGGTGCCTCTGCTGCCTTTAGCTGCTTTCACAGGAACCACTAACTGTTCTGTCAGATTCACTGCTTTCTGCTCAGAAGTTTTAACAATTTCATTCATAGCTCTGTATTGTGAACTACAATTCAAACGAGTAAATCAATACCAAAAGAAGGATAACATTGTGTCCGTGGTATTAAAACACACAAAGTTTAATTGAACATAAAAAAGACAAACGCTGTGTCCGTGTTTATAGGGTCGGCAACTGAAAAGGTTCAAAGAGCCATATTTGACAAAAAACTAAAAACAACATCGGTCTGGAGCCTTGTATAAGGCTTACAGTGGGGCAAAAAAGTATTTAGTCAGCCACCGATTGTGCAAGTTCTCCCACTTAAAATAATTTTCATCATAGGTACACTTCAACTGTGAGAGACAGAAAGTGAAAAACAAAAACCAGTAATTCACATGGTAGGATTTTTAAAGATTTCATTTGTAAATTATGGTGGAAAATAAGTATTTGGTCACTTCAAACTAGGAAGATCTCTGGCTCTCACTGACCTGTAACTTCTTTAAGAAGCTCTTCTGTCCTCCACTTGTTACCTGTATTAATGGCACCTGTTTGAACTCGTTATCTGTATAAAAGACACCTGTCCACAGCCTCAAACAGTCAGACTCCAAACTCCACTATGGCCAAGACCAAAGAGCTGTCGAAGGACACCAGGAAAAGAATTGTAGACCTGCACCAGACTGGGAAGAGTGAATCTACAATAGGCAAGCAGCTTGGTGTGAACAAATCAACTGTGGGAGCAATTATCAGAAAATGGAAGACATACAAGACCACTGATAATCTCCCTCGATCTGGGGCTCCACGCAAGATCTCATCCCGTGGGGTCAAAATGATCATGACAACGGTGATCAAAAATCCCAGAACCACACGGGGGGACCTGGTGAATGACCTGCAGAGAGCTGGGACCAAAGTAACAAAGGTTACCATCAGTAACACACTACGACGACAGGGAATCAAATCCTGCAGTGCCAGACGTGTCCCCCTGCTGAAGCCAGTGCATGTCCAGGCCCGTCTGAAGTTTGCCACAGAGCACATGGATGATACAGCAGGGGATCGGGAGAATGTCATGTGGTCAGATGAAACCAAAGTAGAACTGTTTGGTATAAACTCAACTCGTCATGTTTGGATACTGAGTTGCATCCCAAGAACACCATACCTACTGTGAAGCATGGGGGTGGAAACGTCATGCTTTGTGGGTGTTTTTCTGCTAAGGGGACAGGACGACTGATCCGTGTTAAGGAAAGAAAGAATGGGGCCATGTCTCGTGAGATTTTGAGCCAAAACCTCCTTCCATCAGTGAGAGCTTTGAAGATGAAACATGGCTGGGTCTTCCAGCATGACAATGATCCCAAACACACCGCCTGGGCAACGAAGGAGTGGCTCCGTAAGAAGCATTTGAAAGTCCTGGAGTGGCCTAGCCAGTCTCCAGACCTCAACCCCATTGAAAATCTGTGGAGGGAGTGAAAAAGTCTGTGTTCACTGCTCTTGAGAAGATCTGCATGGAGGAATGGACCAAAATACCAGCTACTGTGTGTGCAAACCTGGTAAAGACCTATAGTAATCGTTTGATCTCTGTTATTGCCAACAAAGGTTATATTACCAAGTATTGAGTTGAATTTTTGTTATTCACCAAATACTTATTTTCCACAACAATTTACAAATAAATTCTTTAAAAATCCTACAATGTGAATTCCTGTATATTTTTCACATTCTGACTCTCACAGTTGAAGTGTACCTATGATGAAAATTACAGACCTCTGTCTTTATTTTAAGTGGGAGAACTTGCACAATGGGTGGCTGACTAAATACTTTTTTGCCCAACTGTATATAAAGGTAACACAGGCTGAAGCTGTATTAGCTATATTAGCCTAATATCTAAATGACAAAGTAAAGGCTACAAATACATAATAAGCATTCATGATTATCAAATGTGTAATCTCACTGCAGCGTGTTCTGGAGAGAATGACGCACCACGTGACGACTCTGCTTTAACTTTAACTCTAACTTTAATTTTTTGTCTTCATGCAATTGTTGAAATACAGTAAATAAATCTGCTTTTTGGCTCAGTGTTCACCTGCATCACAGCACTGTCTGTTCATATCCATCACAGGCTGAAGTTTGCTGGAGCTGAATGTCCAATGGCCCTTTTTTTTCACCATCTTTGCGAAGGTTTTTGAAGTCTGAAAGTAGGTGCTCTGAATTTTTGATGAATGAATCCTTCAGTGAACGCTGTTTTGCAACAAAACTTCTCATTACAACGCATCATGAAGCAGTCCTTCCTCATTGACTGAAAGCAAATGTTCATTCTTAGTCTTAGTCCAGTCTTATAAACGACTCTTTCTCTCTTTAGCTTTGGGATCCATGCTCACACGCGGTTTGTTTACAGCAGCGGCCGCCTGGCGTGGGGCGCGTCACAGGATATGACTCACTCCGTTGACAGAAATTTTGAAATGGAATATTACTTATGCACATTTTTACAGCATTTAAAAACGTTAAGAATGTTTTTCCTCCTTCAGAAACCACATTCAAACTAGAAATAAAATACAGCCCTCCCACTCCATTTTCAGATATTTTTGAAAAGGCTCCAGGAGCCACTCGAGGAGCACTAAAGAGCCGCGGGTTGCCGACCCCTGGTTTGTACAGTATGTGGAAGAAAATACTGTAGAGGATCAGGATGTATGCAGTGTCAACAATAAAATAAAGGGCAATAGTCTATTGCCACTATTTTTTGTTACAGGGATGAGAATTGGTTGAGAGCGGTTCCGGGTGAGCGGTTCCCGTTTACAAAGTGGCCGCAGCTGCCCCGGAACACTGCGGCCGCTGAGGTGGCCGAATCCTGTTCAAGTACATACAGCAGGTGCCCGCGGACACGCGTCCCCCCCTCGAACATTTCTCAACGGATTTACACTTTTCACAAACATGTTTTTTGTATGAGGCAGACAGACCGGCCCAAATATGGGCAACGGCCCTTCGGGCATTGCCCGGTACGCCCGATGGCCAGTCCAGCCCTGATTTGAGGGTGGAGTCTGGTGTGCTCCTGCTCAGGTTGGAACTAAAATCCTTTCTGGAACCGGTTTGACACCCCTGCTCTAGACCCTTTGTTGCAGTGAAAGCTGTACGTTACCCGCTGGCCCAGAGCCTTGGTCCTAGACTCCAGCTGGTCCTTGTGGGCCCGGGTCTCTGCCAGTTCCAGCTGGAGGCGGGACACCTCTGAGTGCAGCTCCGCCCTCTCATGTTGCCATCCAATCAGAGCCTCTGCCTCCATGTGTGCTCAGTGTTCTTCTGAAACACAAGAATCACTTCACTGGGATCTGTGCTCACAAGGTTCAGATGGAGCTTCAGGCAGCAGCCACATGTGGATAACTGACATCACCATGTATTTAGAAACAATTCATTAACAACATCTGTCTGTTGCTTTGGTTCAATCCAAGGACACCTGGAATATGTTTTTTCATGATGAATGGTTAAAACAAACATGAGCCACTGATGCACTTTATACCATAAACAAAGAAAATACTGGAATGTTCGCTCAACATTTTTCTCTATATTATTTTGTATCATTTTAATTCCACTTAGACTTTTGCTCAAGCTGCTCAGGGACTACAGGTGCAAATTAACATTTATGCTCAAACCGGGCCCCAGCATGTTTCCTATGACTTTGTCTTTGATTAATGTTTTGTTTACTGTCCCACCACACCATACGGGGGAACCAGTGATTCTCAGACAAGCTTGGATCAGTTCTCAAATGCAAAACATGTCAAGCACAGAGCTGAGCCAGACTGTTGGAATAATCTGATCAGTGCTCGTTATAAATCCTGTTATAAACCTATAAAGTGCTGAGAGCGCACTAGCAGCCTGCACCATCACCAGCAGCAGAGGCCTTCCACACGCTAGCTACAAAACTACAGGGCTCTCTCTTTCAAACACCAAGGATACAGCTGTTCTTGGATTTTTTTAAAGTAGCTACATAGAAAATTGAGACTAAAATAGAATTTACACCAGAACTAAGGGATCAACCAATATGTTTTTTTTTCAGTGAAGATAGGGATTGTTTGTAATAAAATAGGCTGATATAATGGCACGACAGACCATTGACCACCACGAGACTTTCTACATCGACTCCACCTGCTGTTGTTGTGTCCTTGGGCAAAACACTTAACTCACTTCACCTATTTGTGGCCATATTTGCATGCAAAAGCCAGATCCCGTCAGACCTCTGAAGCTGTGCAGTGAAGGGCCTAGTTAGTACTGTGATGGGAGACCTCTGGGAACACCAGGTGCCACAGTGTGGCAGCTGTGGCTGTAAAATGCCAAACTGCTGTTGTGTCCTTAGGCAAGGCACTTCACCCACATTGCTTAGGGTGTGTGTGTGTGAATGGTTGGTGGTGGTCAGACTGGTTGCCTTGGAGTGGATGAATAATGACATGTAAAGTGTCTTTGAGTGTCTAAAAAGACGCTATATATCAACTGTAGTTAAAGAGAAAATATGTTTCATCTAAAACCTGTTCAAGCCAAACAGTCCTGATCAGCGACTAAATATATTTGTTTTGCCAAAGTAAAATGTTACTGTCTGAAACAAATGTTTATTGTCTGTAAATCAGTTCCTGCCCCAAGTTTTGAGCCAATCCAAACATACCTGTACTATCCAAGGGGCAGTGTTGGGTAAGGTTAGTTTATTAAAATGTAATGAGTCAATTATAATATTGTCATAAAAAATACATTTTATATAGAGCTTTTTTGGACACTAAAAGACGCTTCAGATCATTATTCCCTCTGTCCATACACAGTGGCGACAAACTACTAAGTTACTGTAGCCACACCTGCCCTGGGACACACTGACAGAAGCAAGGAAACCAGTATGTGCCATCAGCCCCTCTAACCACCAAGCATTCACACACACACACACACACACACACACCAGACTTTCAATTGTTTTTCTTTGCATAACAACATTTAAAATAACAAAAATAGCACCACAAGTTTATTTACACGAAAGAGGAATAAATAGTCAGACGTAATACACAACGTTTCTACCTTTAGCTAAACTCCAACAGGTAGATTGCATCTAAAATCAGTGCATAGGAGATGTGTCACAGACAGAGAGATTTTGGCAACAGTTGTAATGTATTTGTAATGACTGTATTAGACCACTGATACAAACTCTCCCTTTAACTAGCTAGCTGTATAATGCTGTGTAAATGAATGAATGCTGTAGCTTAATGTTTACTGTTGAGCAGAAGCCAAACACATGCTTTCGAAAGTTGGAACTCGTTTGACGGTTATGTAGAGTTAGTTAGTGTCACTTTTTGCAGTTGGAAAATCAAGTAGCCCAGCTTAAAGCCCTCAGTCCCTGCGGTCCGCGCCTCCAGAGGCTGAAGCTGAGTGTACCCGCACCTGAGTCACCTCGGCTCCTCTCCGCTCTGTCTCAGGGCCTCGGTCTCCTGAGTCTCGGGTCTGGGTCTCCTTCAGAAGCTCGTAGGAGCGACATGTGAACATCATCAGCGAGAAGCATCTAAACACTTCAAACTTCTGCTTCCACCCGCGAAGTCTGCACTTTTCCCAACACACTGAACCGCGCCGTTAGTATTTACATAAGGGCGTATGTTAACTAATGTTTTATACCTTAGGATTATCATTTTACAGTTATATTATAGTTGATGTTACGAACATTTACTTTGTTTAAATATGAAGGAGATATGTTTAATCAATTTAACAGAAATACGTTTGGGGAAAAAAAAATATGCACCCGCTGACGTGACGTCATGAATACGCGACTGTGTAGTTTTAGTTTATTCGTTTAAAAAAAAAAAAAATTAACAGTAAATGTCAAGATTGGGCATTCAAGAATGTGTATATTGGTGTGCATATAGATGAGAAAGATTCTGTTTTGACAGGACTTTATAGTCCTTTTGTGGGGAATAAGGGAATAATCAGCCTCCCACACAGTCAGTGCCATGAGATGTTGTCTGGTATGCCTTCGGGAATTATCCAATATCAACAAATGGTCAAAATAATGTGAGAAGATTAGAAAAAAGTTTTTATCTGCGTTTGTTTGATTATCCATATGAAACTGTCTATGTATAAAACAAATTGAGAAAGCATTGTTCACATTGGAACTCCTAGAGCAGTCCGTGTGTCAGGTCTTATTTTGGAAGTGTAACTACTCAACGTGTGTACCTTTTTGATTTTTTTGACTTTTTCTGTATCAATATAAAGGTTATTTCTATGTCATTGTTTATATGTGCTAGTCAAAGTCACCTCCATCATGGACAACACCTCCCACCCACTGCACAGGACTGTAGAGGAGACACCCTCAGTGTAAGAAGGAACGCTACCGCAGGGCCTTTATCCCCACTGCTGTCAGACTGTACAACAAGTCATTTAAGTCACTGCATTAAGACTGAAAAAACCTATACTACTATTGACACAGTTTCTTGATCGTCACTTTTTAATTTGCCACTTTATTGAACATAATATATATCCTGCATTTAACATGTTTGCACATTTATTTCTTTTTGCACAATCTTGAGTGTTTCTATCCATGCCAGATGTGACATGTAAATTTCTCCAGTTTGAGATCAATAAAGTATATCTTATCTTATCTTATCTTATATGAAGTCGTCTTTTATTTTTTAAATGTGAGGAATTATAACATAAGCTTTTATTTCCAGGGCAGTTGCCATAGCAACATGCTGTTTATTGTCAGCAGTTAGCATTAGCTTTTAAGCAAACTATTTTTTGCTTCATTTCAATATATTCACCAGATTTAGCACTCATTAATAGTGAGTAAGCGGTAAAAGATGGACGACTTACTTTTAAGTAAGTGATCAATGGAATAATTGTTCAGAATGCCATTAGTTTGAATAGGAGCAGGCACAATAGGAGTCTAGGAGTTCATGTGATTGTTATCAAAGAAAAGGGTGTGCCACGGTCTAAAAAGGTTGGGTAAGGGTTAGGGTTAGGGTTCCCGACAGAAGTTATGTAAATGAGGACCTGGACTGATGTTATAATAGATCCATCACTGAATACTACCACCCATACTGCCGACTAAATTGCGGGTACAGCACGTTTGATCAATATATTTTCATAATTTCTTGCATCATTCATGTATTCATTTCATAGTTATAATTATGTTTATTTAATGTGAAATACATTTTAGGTTTATTCAAAAGGGGGAAAAAAATAGTGTAATTTTAAAGAGCTGACAACTCATTGACTGCCAGCCCATTTCAAAACAGGTACTCCCATATTGCCAGCCGTTTCTGGTGGTTTTTACTGATTTTTCAAGACCCACAGAATATTGTGTACTTTGACTATCTGAAATCTAAAACTAGATTCTGAAAGAATGGGCTGTCTACTCTCACCAGCAAAAAGAATTTTGTTTCTATCTTGTTTAGTTCTTCTGTAATCCCCAGTTGAGTAGAGGGAAGTTTTATTGAAATCACCAGAAAGCTGAGAAAAAAGGGCCACAAACAGTGCATCTAGCTGTGTTCAAACCATTCATAGCGCAATGCTGCCATCTGCTGGCTCCATAAAGTATTGCCTCAAGCCAATCTCCAACGTTACTATTTAGTTTGACGTGTTAACACGTCAATGGCAGTCAATGAGATATTTCACACCTTCAGGTCACCTAGGCCCAGGAGTTGAACAACCGAGTCAAAAATGTGAGCGTGATTGGATAGAGGTGAAATAGATACAGAATAACAACAGAAAGAGTAAAAAGTAAAATGTTGTGAAAAGCAGTGGTTAGCTGCTTCACAGCAAGAGGATCCTGGGTTTGATTACACCTCCAGGACCATGTGTACACTGTAAACCCTCACAAGTAAAGTTTACTTGAAAAAACCATGGAAATAAATTGCGTATTAACTTCACTTGAATTCCTCGAGTACATCGGTAACTTGATATTACCAAGTAACTTCTACTTACGCTCCGACCGGGATTCGTACTCAGAACCCTGTAGATGAGAGGTAATGGTGCTACCCACTCAGCCACCAAGACACCCTGCCATTCTCACACCTGCCTCATTAAAGACTCTACACATCAAAATGTCAAAAGTGAGGCTTACTTGAACAGAAACAGTTCAATTCAAAGAAAACCCTGTGTGACATAGGCAAGCTTTAAATAAACTAACAATAAATGAGTAATATCTACTTACTGGGAAAAATCTATTTAAAATAACTTTGATATCTGAAGTAGGATTGAAGTTAGGGTTTACAGTGTAGAGTTTGCATGTTCTCCTCATGTTGGCGTAGGTTTCCTCAGGGTGCTCCGGTTTCCCCCACCACTAAAAACATAATTGTTCCGGCATGCATCTCCTGTATGGCTTTTGGTGTGGAGTGAGACAAACCCCAAAGAAAAAACAATTTAATTTCATTTCATTTATTTTCATGTTGTACATGCATAGATACAAGACTTAACCAAAGAAGATACTCAGACAAATTGTATATATAAGTACATAACAGAAGCACCAAAATGAATAGTAATAATGTTCAGTTAACATAGAAGTATATGTAAATAAAATAATCGTATAATATTAATAATACGTTGTCTTGTTTCATCTACAAAAGGGAGTGGGAAGAAGTAAAAACGTATTTAATCCCACCCCTAATTCCAAATGACTCTTTCACCATCCGAGTCGCAAAATTATCATTTACTATTAAAAATTGTAAAGCTCTTTGACTCTGGGCTGTGAAAAGCACTATAGATTACTTACTAATGAATCCAACCACAATATTCTGTTGTCATTAGAACATTTTTTGTTATTTGCAAACTTGCAAAATGCAAAGATTTCTGTGAGTCACTTTTTGACGCTTTGAACTGAGTGCTGATTGGCTGAGTGAGGGTTATCCTCTCTCTTCATTATTCTGTCTGACAAAGGTGATTTGAAATGATATAAATTTACAGCAAACTCCTTTAGAGTACTTTAGGAAGGTTCATCTTGTCTTCTTGATTAAAAGTATTTGATTCTTTTACACCAGAAGGATGGATGTAGTACATTATTGGCTTCAAGGCTCTTTCAGAATCACAGAAATCACACTTGGCCTTTTTCTGAATTAACCATTTAGAATATTCTATAAAATATGATGCAAAGATTTCATCCACAAATGTAGGTATTTCAAAACAAAGCTAAATCAATTATTGGAGAAATTGCATTTCTTACCTGTGTTCAAAGCCTTGGATTCGTGAAGCAAGTTTACCTTACCTTCTTTGAAATGACTTTTCTTTTATTTTTCTTTACATTATTTTTTGAATATTTTTGCACATCATATTTGTGTGAGGGGTCATAGACAATTGTTTGGGGTTTTTGTTTGTTTGTATGTACATTTTCTTAATAATGAAAAAAGAGAAGTAGAAAAAAATCTACTTTGAAAGGGTGTTTCCGGTGATGCTTAGTGCGGTGTCTGCGGCGGAAGTCCCGTGCAGGTGTGCCGCATATGAGCGTCTCCGCTACTGCTCGAGTCGCGTCTGTTTCTCCGCTCCCAGATTCCCCCAGAGGGAGCTGAGCCAAGCCAAGTCGAGCCGAGCCGAGCCGAGCCGAGCCCAGGGACCCCCGGACCGGTAAGCACCGCCTCAGCCTCCCCATCTCTCAGCATCAGCATCCATCAGCGCCACTCCCTTTGCTCATGCATGCGCTCACCTCGCACACGGACGCGCGCCTGACCCAAGAAGCGCGCACAAGGTCGTTATAGTACGCGTGCATGTGTGTCTGACACAGATTAGCGCCTCAACCGAGCGAACTGGTTTAGATCTTTGACTAGACCCCAGACTGTCACCCTCCCTGAACCAGCTTCAATACCATGTGTGAGCCAGACCTACTCCAGCTTCAATACCATGTGAGAGCTACTCCAGTTTCAATACCATGTGAGCGACAGACTTACTCCAGCTGCAATACCATGTGAGAGCCAGACCTACTTTATACTCAGCTTTAATGCCATATAAGGGACAAACCTACTCCAGATTCAATAGCATGTGAGAAAAAGACCTACACTTGGTCCAATACCATGTGAGGACAGACCTACTCCAGCTCTGACTTCCTGGTTAATCATGCCTTATCATGTTACCGATACCGATTTACACAGACACACAATTATTGTTATACCAGTTTATAGCACCTGTTTTAACTTGTAATTCAAGACTGTAATTAAAGACAACAAACTGATTTAATAGTCAACCAAGAATATCAGTCCTGGTCCAGTCCAGTCCTCCTCATTTGTGAGAACCCGTGCTAATGAGCCATGTCTGTGAATCATTGACAGTATTCAACAGAATATAGATATTTATCATTCAGACCACTGTTTTTCAACCAGTGGTCCGCGGTACATCAGTGCGCCTTGAGATGTTGTTTGATGTGCCTTTAGGAATGATCCAAAATCACCTGACGACCTGTTTGCGCTTGTTTTAATTTCTATATGACACACTTTGAGATTGTCCTTGTTAATAAGACTGCAGGGAGTAGGAGAGAGGAGATGAGGAGGAGAGAGAGGGGACGAGAGGAGAATGAGGGGGGAAGAAGAGAGGAAAGAGGGCAGAGGAGAGAAAGAGAGTTTCATCCCTCAGTTTCAGCTGGTGGTGTGTCATGTGATTGTTATCAATGAAAAAGGCCACAGCTCAGACAAGTTGGGAACACTGCTTTTTTTTGTCTGGAATGTATGGCTTAGAATTGGACACAGGCTCCCAAGTTGTTGCCATAGTAACCATCTCATCATTTGTTGTCCCACAGGGCATGGTGCTGGTGTGAGGGCGGAGTCATGGCCGAAGTGGGAGGAGCCATTACATTGTTCGTCCTCTGTTCCCTGCTGCTGCCTGTTGCCATTGGTCAGTCCTGACTCTTGTGGTCAATACTCGAGAACTAGGATAAAGACTAGGATAAATAAGACAATCCATGAAGGAGTCTAAACTAAACTGTTGTGAGTGTGATGTTCTGTGTGTGTGCAGGGACCAGGGAGGAGCAGAGACAGTGTGCTTTCTCAGAGCACCTGCAGGGGGCGACGCGGGGCAACAGCACCGTGCTCTGCAGCAGGGGCCGTGCCTGCTTTGGGCTGTGGGAGCAGCAGGTGGGGGGAGAGCTGGTGCTGCTCAAGCAGGGTGAGACATGGGCTATTACCTTAATCTACATGTTTTATTATTTAAGCTGTTTTTTAAAACATCTTTTCTGTAAAACTTTATGTACTGTATAGTGCTGAACAGTCAGCAACAGTATTGTAAACCGCTTTGTGACTCTGGTCTGTGAAAGGCGGTATATAAATAAAGATTACTTACTTACTTACTTAGCATAAAGCCGCAAAAATAGTCAAAATAAGAAAATATATCAAAAATAAGAAAATGTGAATAAAACGAAAAAAGACAGAACAACAACATAGAACTAAACCACAGAGATACAGAAACATCATAAAGTTACGAGGAACAAACCTGCACACAGAGTAATTTACGTCCAAAAACTAACAAGCCGAATTGGACTGTTCTCAGAGTTAAAACGGACGGTCCTGGATTCTACAGTCCGCTCCGACCGAGAATCCCTCTCCTCAAAGTGGCCCTCCCCGAGGATTCTCATCTTTTCCATGTCGTATGCCAGGAGGGTCAGTTAGAGCTCTTGTGAGGTCAAACTAAAAAGACAGTGGTGAGGATCCCAGACCACTCAACAATCAACAACATTTATGGACAAATGTCAACACTTATAGACATGTGGTCTCTGCCACCCTATGGACCAATACAATGTGTAATTCTAGCATTAACATTCTCTTGTATGTTAACTTTGATATTTCTGATCTGTGTTGGCATAATTCAATGGTTTTGTGTAAAAATGCCTCAGAGGATAACAACTGTTTTTTGATATAGGGCGATACAAAGAAATAACATTTTAGAGGTGTATTGAATGGTAAAGCTCCATTCATGTAACTTTAAAAGGGCTGCATCTAAAAACATCTTTATGTACTTATGACAAAACCTTTTAAAAGTAGTTTTAAATAATCAATTACGATTCTTATCTAAAACAGAAAGGGTATTGGCATAAAAAATACACTTTAATTTAGTGCAAAATTATGTGTGTCGTTTGAAATCATATACAAACATTCATTACAAATTTGAGTGTTTATGTGAAATAATACAAACCTTATATAGGAGGACGTGCACTTTGGTTTGGTCTATATATGGTAAATGGTCATAAACAAAACAATATGGTTAGAATGTTTCAAACAAAACTAAGTCAAATTCTTCACACTGAACTTAATGTGAGACATGAGGGGTACAATTTGGACCATGTGTTTCAGCAGCAAAGTATCTGTAAATAAAGTTGACAGAGGTTTGTGTATTAAACGTTAAAACAAATCTATTAAAAAATGTACATTGTGTGTGGTGTGTTTAAATGATTCACACACACCATACAAATACTTACACCACAATGAGGCAGCAGCAACTCAGTGGAAAATAAAAGAGCAAGACAAGGCCATGGGCTCCCCCTTTTTATTCTGCCAATACATCTAAACAGAACAAGATATACAGTGAATTTGGCAAGGAGTTTATAGCAGTTCCACACAAGGCAACTCAAAGTGATTAAAAAACAAAGACATTTAAAATCTTAAATAACTGTTTTTTTAACCTGGATTTTATCATGTCAGATGAGAATCCTGAGAGAAATGATGGATAAGTATCTCCACTATATCTTTTTATCTGCCAATGATTTTTAGATGGTAAAAATTATACATAACATTTCAGATGTTACTGATTTGATAGTGTGTTAGTGGCGACATTTATTCTGAGTCCATTTATTACCTCTTGATTTCTGAAAGTTTCACAGATACGTACTGAAGTTAAGGTTGATAAAGCAATAAACAATTTTGTCTCTTTGATTCTTTGGTTAAATTACAAGTTTTGAACTGAAAGGCTAAATGAAAGTGGGCGACACCATACCAAGTTTAGGTTTCACTTCAAGAAAAGGAAACTAGCTAATTAACCTCAAGAACGAGTCAGGAACTATGCAATTGATTTGTTCGCAGACTACTGATTCTATTGACTTTCCCTCGCATGTCTTTAATTGACAAGTTTGCTAGCATTAACTTGTGATGTGCTGAGCGGACCGAGTCTTCGAAGCGTGGGACCGAGTAATCTGGGCGTTTCTTTTTGAGGTGTGGGTCGAGGCGTGTATTGGTCACGTGTGTGGTGACGTTAGAAGCCTCGCGTAGCGGCCGCACCACGTGACGGTCATGGAGAATGAGGGGTACGTGATATTGGGCGGGGTCTATCCGGTTCGGCCATGTGATAGGAACCTCCATCGTTGCCAGAGGGGCAACGCCACTAATCGCTAACCGCTCCAGAGGTCTTTAATTGAGCACGTTATTATTTAGGCAGTAGATACATCTACGATTACAACCTAGCAAGACAGTTAACGGAGAAAGTGAAGGCGAAAGGAAATGGACCGTACTGGAAAAGATTCTACCCACGGCAAAACAACGTTATTTGGAGAAGCTCTAGACATATACAGGTAGACCCATACGAGATTCCTGCAGCGGAGTGGCAAAAAGACCTTGACTTTTTGCCTCCGTGCACGTACATGGATATAGTGAATTAACTTGTTTTCGGTGTTTATTTATTACACAATTGCTGGAGTTTAGAAGCCCGTCACAAAGTCACTGGAGAGTTACGAGGCTTTCTGCTGTGGTTGGGTGCAGGGACCTTGGCCATCTACAAGCCTCCAGGCGGTGTAAACACGTTGTACTTGCAATGGTAAGTTTAATAACATGCGTTTTTGGGGGCTGTACTTAATTTGCCTTTTAGCCACACATTTCTTGACCATATTGACGTGTGTCATTAGATAGTTAGATAGTTAGCTAGGCAGCTTAACTTAAGATGCACTTCAGTGTTTGCAACATTAACAGCTAGGTAACCTCACTTCTTACTTTAAAAAAAACAAAATGAAGCCTTTTTAGGGACGTACCGAGTGAAAATGCAGAGAAACACTCTCATCGATGGGGAGTGAGATCGAAAGTAAGAGTCCTTTCTTCTTATTGCAGCTCAACCAAGCCATCCGGGAGTCTCTTCGTCAGGTCAGACACCTGCGCTCCCTGATGTTGTATCCATGGTGGTGGCCTAAAACAATTGTTAAAACCCGTTGTTTCCTACGTTTCTTTCTTATTGTGTGAGGTACTGGCAGTTTTTCACACAGCAATGAGCTACAGGCATGGTAAAACAGAAATAGCGACGACTAACAACAACAAAACTACTTCATATGAAATACAATTAAAAACGTTTCACTTTAGTAAAACTTCATATATCAAGGCTTCAAGTTATTAGTAATAATATGCTGGATAATACATTTCACAACAGCTGTGTGGCGCAGTCGGTATATGACGGACTCCGAAGTAGAAGATATAGCGTTCGAATCCTGGCCTACCCATAATAAATTTTGTGTTGCAAAGTAAATGTATTTATTTATTGGGAAAAAATGGTTGTTTGTGTTTAATTAATCCACCTCTTGGTAGTTTTTCCTCCATTAATCACTTTCTGTAGAACTGTATTACTTTGGATGTGTTTGTTGTATCAACACAATTGACTGAAAGACTCAAATAGTTCATAGTTCATGAAGCATCATTTCAAACACAACACTTTAGACCATAGATTGTAAATATACATTTTAACATTAGATCTCACCATTCATTGTAAGCACTTAAGAGTGTTATGTATTTTTTTGTCCACATGATGGCGTAGTGGAGCATGATTCACCTCGAGCCTTCGACTCATGGGCCGAGTAATAGGCTGCGATCCCTCAAGGCTTCATGGGGCTTCATATTGCCATCACTATTATTTACATAGGAGCGCTAGGAGCTCCGCTCAATAAACACATAAACACAGACAATCAATACATCCAAATGTAAATCGGACAACACAGTTTAGACATACATTCTTTATACACATGCACGGACGTTTTCAGAATTATTTGTAATGGTTTTCATGAAGGAAATAGTTGAGTATAAGCATAATTCACTCACCGTCGAGTTCGAGAATTTTCTAGTAGTTCTGTGTGGAGTTTGTAAAGAGCTCGGCCACAGGTCCGGTAACAGGAAGTGGATTTCCTGTGTTCTGGGGCGCAGCCATTTTAACTATAGCGCCACTGATGGCGGACCAATGAATGGGATATTCAGTGCGCCAGAGTGTTACATTACCCTTAAAGCTGCAAGTGAATAGTAATAATTCAAACATTCCAAGGGCCACTACACACGCTCTGGTGGGCCCTTTTGGCTCGCGGGCCTAAGTTTGGCACCTTATGATTTATTGAGCAACATGGTTGTGATGCTTTACTGACCAGGTGCCCCTGGTCAGTAAAATGCGCTATATAAATAATAAACACTTACTTATTTACTTACTAACCTTTGTCCAGATGGTTCTGTATTGGGGGTGCATCAGCTGTTTGAATCCTATAATGTTTTATACCACAGTAATAAACAAATGAGGACACAAATATTCAGGATGTATAAGTATTCAGAATACAGTGGGTTTTTTTTATTGAACGTAATTATACCCTGCACAGACTATACTTTTAACCACATGAGTGATTCTATTTATTTCTCTCCATTGTGAGATCAATAAAGTTTATCTTATCTTACCTTATTGGGCCTTGGAAGATGGGGTTTTTCAGCCAATCAGCTTTCAGCCCAAAGAGTCAATTAGTGACTCACAGGGCATTTTCTGACACAGCTCTGCCTTATTGTCAAAATGGTTCTAGAAAGGGCCGGTGACGTGGCAAGTTTTAGTTCCAACCTGAACAGGAGAAAAGCAGACTCCACCCTCAAGTCTTTAGGGTAAAACCGGACTCACCTGAGAAAACGGGTGGAGTCTGTGCTCCTGCTTGGTTGGAATGAAAACCTGCAGCCACAGACCTTTGGGGACCGGTTTGACAGCCCTGAGAAGTGGGGTTTGGTTTAAGAGGTAAGGATATTGTTGTGGTTTGATTTGTTATAAAATGTGTTCCTTTTACAAGATTCTTTGTGTTGGGACAAACAACAAGCATTAAAAAGATGGACACCCCATCTTAAATCCCACTTCTGGGTTTGAAGTTGTGGGACAGTGGGAGCGATTGGGAGTGGCTTCGAGGAAGTCTGGCTCCTTGTCTGTAATCCTGCTTTAGAGCCTTGTGTATCAATGCTGTGGTGCCAGATCTGTTCAGCTGCAATGTTTTTTCAAGATTGCCAACACTCCGACCATTTTGTGCCGGCGCAGATCCGGGACGGTCATATGACACTCATCACAGCAGCAGTTCCAGCCATAACATAGATATTTAGATAGAGACTGTATTGATCCCCATAGAAGAAGAAATTTGAATGATGACTTATTTTGACCTTTTTTCCCCAAGTGCCTGAAATTGTTTTTAATTGTCAAACATTTCTGAAATGGATTGAATAGAATTGAAGAAATTCAGGTGTCCAGCAGCAGAAACACATCCATCCAAACAAATAAATACACAATCCTAAAAGTTACTAACAATGGGCCTCATTCACGAACGGTTCTTAGGAACAGATTTGTACGTAAATCCTACTTACGCGGTTTTTACGAAGAAAGTGGCATTCACGAATATTTCTCGTAACCAGAATTTCTCTTGGGCAAGTACAAATCCTACGAGTCCTCAGGAGCACTCGTACGCATTCAGTGCCGACATGTTCACACGCCGGGGTTGTCCTCTTTGGTGAAGTTGAATAAAAATACAACATTCCAGTGATATGTCCGTCATATCGATGTATGTATTTATTTATTTGTAGTAATCTTTATTAGTAATCTTTATTTATATACCGCCTTTTTCACTGCAGATCTGGCCTACTTTTTAATTCATTTTGAAATGAAATGTGCCAACGCTTTATCAAATACATTGGAAATCTTGCCGTGTATTAGTGACCCCTTCCTATTTATAGGGGGCATTTCTTTATTCACGGGCCACAGAACAACGGCATATATACTGCTGCTGCAGGAGGTTACTGGGTCCGCGCTGAGTCTCTGCGCTGGTCTCTCCTATGGATCTATACGGGTCTGCGCTGGTCTCTCCCATGGATCTATACGGGTCTGCACTGGTCTCTCCCATGGATCTATACGGGTCTGCACTGGTCTCTCCCATGGATCTATACGGGTCTGCACTGGTCTCTCCCATGGATCTATACGGGTCTGCGCTGGTCTCTCCCATGGATCTAGACGGGTCTGCACTGGTCTCTCCATACGGGTCCGTGCTGCATGCTCCTGGATCCTACGGGTCCGCGCTGGTCTCTCAAGTCTGGTCTATGCGGTCTCTCTTCGGTCCGCGCTGGTCTCTGCGCACCGGTCTCTCCAGTCAGGTCACTCCAGTCTATGCGGTCTCTCCTGTCCGCGCTGGTTTCTGTGTGCTGGTCACTCCAGTCTCTCCTCGGGTCTGCATTGGTCTCAGCGCTGGTCCGCGCTGGATCTCCTCCCAGGGTCCAAAATATTTTGAGATTAATCTCAAAACATTTTGAGATTCATCTTTAAAATAATACATAATATATTTTTAAATTAAGATCAGGCCCGTCCTAAGGGCTGTGCGACCTGTGCCGTCGCACAGGGCCTCGCACCACACAGGGGCCTCGCAATCTTCCTTCCTTTTATTTTATTTTATAAATACACTAGTTCAAGGGTCCCCAAAGGGCAGACTGCACTCCAAATTTGGAACCCTAAACCCCTTTCTCTGGACCTCTTTGATTTCGTTTGATCAAAAGAACATTTTTACAAGTAAAGTCAAATTTTCACCAAAAGCGATTTGTAAACAGGCAGGCGCGCGGGCAGCTATGTATGCAACGGGTCCTCCGAAAAAACTGTCAGATAACTTTAGCAGTGTCTGAGTGAGATACAAAGAAAGTAACGGGAATGATCGCAGTGTAGGAGAGATGGATACTCGCGGAGGAGAGAGCAGTGAGACAAGTGTGAGCAGAGGAGCAGACCCCTTTGTGTGAGCAGAGGAGGAGGAGGAGGAGGAGGAGGAGCAGTGATACAGGTGTGAGCAGAGGAGCAGACCCCTTTGTGTGAGCAGAGGAGGAGGAGGAGGAGGAGGAGGAGGAGGAGGAGCAGTGATACAGGTGTGAGCAGAGGAGCAGACCCCTTTGTGTGAGCAGAGGAGGAGGAGGAGGAGGATCAGCGGTGTGACAGGTGTGTGAGCGCTGCTATTGCCAATGTTTAGTCCGAATATCCACATCAAAAACATATTTTTAAAAGCATTAGCAAACACACTGTATGTCTAGCTTTAGCTAGCTGGAGTGTTTTTGTTGTGGTCAGAGTGTGTGGAGGAGGAGGTGAAGAGTATTTTGTTGTTGTCAGTGTGGAGGAGGAGGAGTGTATGTTGTCAGAGTGTGTGGAGGCATGGCAAAAACGTTATTTGATGAGAAAAATAATAATATTGACTCCGCCTCATAGCCATTTTGGCGCATTTTGCCCAAATCTAACTATTAGAAGAAAAAGACTCCTTTTGGTTCAATCTTTTGAGTTGCTCTGCCATTTTGCCACAGGACGAAAGAGACATGTCAGCTAAAAAGACCGCGACCAATATTGCACGTAGAGTGTGTGTGCGTGTGTACGTGCGCGCGCCAAACGCTGCATAGGAGCGAAGACACTCGGTTACACCATGGATGTATTATAATAACTGGATAGGGTATTACTAGCTTGTAGCTGAATAACTCACGTGCTCAGAGGATTCTCGCGGTACTGCAGACTGAACCAGACTAAATTCACGTGGGCTACCCAGAAATTTTCCCCATAGAACTCAATGCATATTAAAACAGCTCAACCTCAGCTGACAGAGAACCTACAGCTTTAATAAAGATCGGATTTTGTGGGGATTTTAGTGTCCCTTGTCATCCTGAACTTTTTTTCTTCTTAAATCCTTCGGTTTTGTTTAAATCCACACTTTAGTGCCACAAACTCTGCTCCTCTGGCTCTCGCTCTAACTCCCGCTCTGCTGAACTGCTCTGATTGGTCAGAACGCGGCCGAGCCCCTCTGTGCACGTGCGTGAGACCCGGTGTGAGACCCACACACGCGTGTTTGGCGCAACGCATTATGGGAGATCATCCACTGCGCAGAACCGGGAGGACCAGACGATGCCCAAATACAGGCGAGTTTCCCATAGATCTTTGCGAGTTTCAGGCAACTTCCGCTAATCTTTCAGCCCCCATGCCGTCACAAAGCGCCACTGAGCACAACCATTCATTTGAATAGGGCGCCATCTTGGATCGCCGGGGCTTGGGTTACACGCGTGCTGATCTCGTCAAGCACCGCGCGAGGTGGTGCTGAATTCATGTCAAAGATTATAACAGGAAAAACTTTCCTCAGATCTGGGAAAAAAGTGTCAGGGCAGGGCCTCGCGTTTCGAGTTCGCACAGGGCCTCGCACCCCCCTTGGGACGGGCCTGATTAAGATCATAACATTTTGAGATTAATCTCATCATATTCTTAGATTAATCTCATAATTTTGCTAGTTCGACTTTATTATCATAATATTTCGACTTTTAAGTCAACATTTTATAACTTTATTCTCAGTCTGGCAAAAGCCTGCTTTAGGCCTGTTGCTGTTTCCTCTGGCGTCTGCACACGGCCCTGCAGTCCCTTATATGGGCATTAATGGGCGGTTACTTATGCTAAGTACCTATGCTAATGAAGCACCTGGCACGCGCGCTGTACTTACGAGGAAATGGGATTCATCAATCTGAGAGAACAGCTGCGAACAATTCAGCGGCTTACGAGTGCGTTGATGAATCCCACGTGGGGACTTCCTAGAAATCTACTTAAGGACAACTTGAGAAGAAAGTTGAGTAGTTTCTTACGTAGTTATTCGTGAATGAGGCCCAATATTAATTAAGTACAAGAGCAGCAGAGGTGGTGTAGCTGCTGGTGGTGAGCTGCTTCCTCTGGTCGATGTCTGCAGAGTCTGCTTGGATTATTGTATATTTTGTAGCTGTTTTAAATGTGTATTTGTGTTACTTTTCTCGTGGGGCTGGGTCCCGGCTCTGTCCAGGTGGCAATGAGGCCCTCCAGCCTGCAGCTCCTGACCGCAGCATCCCCCAGAGACAGACCTGGGAGACCACGGCACACCAGCCAACCCAGCCGGCTAGAGACTGAGACAGGACCTCACCGCACTCGGATGGAGACTGAGACAGGACCTCGCCACACCCGTGTGGAGACAGGAGTGGCTAAAATGAACTCGGTTGAGGTTCTGGATCAGGCCTCACTCAGTGTTACTATGGCGACCAACAGAAGAGCAGTTCTGCGGATGGCCAATGGCTGCACTGCTGGAGTTCCCACTGTAGTGACCAACCGCCTGATGGTGGGAGGAGGAATCACTAACCCAGCCGGCCCAAAGGAGGAAGAGGAGGAGGCCTGCAGCAGCTCAGCGTGAGTGAGAGGGGGATATACTTTAGAAAATACTTTGCTCTGACCAAAAGCATTAACACATCAAAAACCAGATATAAGATATAAAAAAAACCAGGAGGCCAGAGAACCTTTGGGAAGAGGAGTCTCTATTTTGGGCATCCTTAACAAATAATTAAATACAGAACATTTCACACATGCCAAGCAGGCACATCCAAAACCCAATAAGACTTTTCCTCCTGAATCCTCTCAGCGTCAAAGCCATAGGTTGCAAATATCAAGTCAAAGCACATCTCATGTAATTTAGAAGAGTGTTTCAATTATTCAAAGAGCACAGTAGGAGAAAGCTGCTTCTCCTACACTCAGTTTTACACAAGGAACTGTGAGAAGGTCTAAGGATCTGAGACTGACACATTCATGCGGCAAAAGTATCTCAGAAATACATATGGAAGTCCAGACGGTGAAGGGACCTGAAAGGGCTCATGCTAAAGCTAATCCTTCCCTATTTCCTGTAGGGGCGTGGCTTCTCAGTCCACGGTGGCGCTGAACTTCCTGTGGAGCCCAGACGACCGGCAGCCGTTACTGCACAGGGAGGTCCCCCCGGCCGGAGCCCTCCTGTCTGCTCCCAACACCAACAACAACAACAGCAACCACCAGAGCTGCAGGTGTTCCTCTGAGGGGGGTCCAGGACTGAGACCGGCCCTGGACCCAGATCCAGCCTATGTCCCTGCCTCCCAGGCTCGTCCAGTCCACTCACAGCAGGGTACTTGCACCAAAACGCCACAATCTTCAAACCAACATCTCGGTGAGTTCAGACGACTAGAACAACAGTAGAAAGATATGGTATGAAAAATATAACAGAATTTGGAAATCAGAGACAAGATCATATGAAGCAGAAGTAGTTCATCTGTAGAGTCCTGAAAACACACAAGAAGGATCTGGTCAGAATGTGAGTCTGAAATTGATCCTAAAAGTGTCTGTGTGTACGTGTGTGTGTGTGTGTGTGTGTCAGAGCGACCTGATAAACACTGCATTCCCACACTCCTCATTTCAGTGTCATCGGACATTGTTGTCTGTGGGAGCCGAACCCTCCCTCAATGTGGGAGGCTTTTCTCAGGAGGACAGTGACATTTATGGACATTGGTCTCTGTCCCTTGTGGCTCTTGGTGTTTACTATCATTGCATTTCTTGTGTTTGAACAGTTGGATTCTCTAATCTGGATTGGCGAATTCGATGGTTTTGTGAAGTCCTCAGAGATATCTACGGTTGTAATTTAGGGCTATACAAAAATATTTTCAATTGAATTAGACAGTTAACTTTAACGGCAACGACCCAAGTTTAAGTGTATTTATAAAAAACCACCACCACTATGCATTTCAAAAAAGTTGGATGACAACGGATACATAAGAGACCTGTAACAGTGGGGAGATCATGTCATGCACAGGACTCGTTGCAACTACTAGCTCACAGTCCTCTTTCAGAGCAGAGCACCTATTTCTTGTCTCGCTCTCTCTGGACTCTCCTTGGTCTCTCTCTGGTCTCTCTCTGGTATCTCTCTGGACGTTGTCTTGTCTCGCTCTCTCTGGTCTCTCTCTGGACTCTCCCTGGTCTCTCTCTGGTCTCTTTCTGGTCTCTTTCTGGTCTCTCTCTGGTCTCTCTCTGGTCTCTCTCTGGTCTCTCTCTGGTCTCTCTCTGGTCTCTCTCTAGTCTCTCTCTGGTATCTCTCTGGACTCTCTATGGTCTCTCTCTGGTCTCTCTCTGGACTCTCTCTGGTCTCTCTCTGGTCTCTCTTTGGTCTCTCTGGACTCTCTCTGGTCTCCATATTTGCCTGTATGGTTGACAAACCACAGTCACAGAACCAACAAGTAAACGTTCAATGTACCAGAATCGTTTGTGGTGAATTCTCTCCGCAGAAAGTAGAGACGGTGACAAGCTGTGTCCTAATGTAAAAAAAAAATGAATTGTAGTCATTTGAACTCATGTGGAGTGTGTTTCTTGCAGAGCACACAGAAGTCACCAGTGAAGGCTTGAACCTTACTGCTGCGTCCTCTGACCCCGCCCTGTCCCGGTCTGCGGCCCCTGTCCCAGACTCAGACAGAGACCTCCCACTGAGCTCAGCACCAGCTCTGGTTCAGGACCCACAGACTTTAGCACAGCGCTTTGCAGACGCAGCAGACGGACACTGGTGCAGAGACACAGACAGGAGCAGATATGTGTCCTTGGGCCTCCGCTCTGCTCCAGACGGGGACCACCGCCTCCCTCGGCCCTGCTCCCTGGACCTGTCCTCCTCCTCTGCCCTGGGTCAGTCTTCTCCAGATAATATAGACCCATGAAAATAAAAAAAGGTTCTGTATGACTATCACCTCTGTTATAGCAGCTGAACTGTTTGAGAAGCAGAACTCATTGTTTTTTTGTTAATTACCATGCGCGGGCGGGAGCCAGCTGCAGAGTTGCATCGCTCCCCCTCTCCCTCCCACTTTTCTTACTTTTGAGCAAACTTATTTTTATTTGATGCTAGAGAATTTGTTTTATTTTAATTAGTATAGCTATTGCTCACTTATCTTGTGCTGTGTGCTCCTCTTTCCTACTGCTCTATAACTTGTGATGCAACACTGTAATTTCCCCACTGTGGGAAATCTTAAATGTGGTGAATCTGGGGAATTTGGAAAAATATACAATATACACAAACTGTTTTCAATATTTTCTTTAGAAAGATAAAAAAATGTGCAGACCGCCGACGTATGTTTCTAGCGCCACTTGCAGGTGAAAGCCAGATCCTGTCCAACCTCTGAAGCTAAGCAGGGAAGGGCCTGGTTAGTACTGTGATGGGAGACCACAAGGAAAACCAGGTGCCACAGTGGGTTAGCTGTATAGTGCCAAACTGTGGTTGTGTCCTTAGGCAAGACACTTCACCCACATTAGAATAAGTCTGGTGTGTTGTGATGGGAGGGGCTGATGGCACAGACTGGTTGCCTCGTTTCTGTCAGTGTGCCCCAAGGCAGCTGTGGCTACATTAGAAGTTTATCACCACTGTGTATGGAGTGACAGAATAATGACATGTGGAGCGTCTTTGAGTGCCCAAATACTTCTGTATAAAATTGTTGCATCAATAATGCTGCTTAAGCGGAGATTCAGGATGGTAGACTACCTACGTCCAGGGCTGGACTGGCCATCGGGCGTACCGGGCAATGCCCGAAGGGCCGATGCCCATATTTGGGCCGGTCTGTCTGCCTCATACAAAAAACATGTTTGTGAAAAGTGTAAATCCGTTGAGAAATGTTTGAGGGGAGGGCGCGTGTCCGCGGGGCACCTGCTGTATGTACTGGAACGGGATCCCACCACCTCAGCGGCCGCAGTGTTCCCGCATCCAGCGGCTCTGAGCTGGACGCAGGAACCGCTCACAACACAACACGGCGAGCGCGTATCCGCAACGTGACCATGTACCCAAGACCATAAACGCGCACAGGACCATGCATGTCTTTTCGTAATTTGTGCACCCAATAAATACACCGCTGCAGAAAACAGTCCACGTCCCCCCTCTCCTCTAAATTAAAGCTCGGGTACCTAAATTTTCCATTGCATTAAAAGTTCATGTTTGAGCCCAAAAGTAAAATGTTGTGAACAGATTAAACAGATTTAGAGCCAGCTAATGGCTGACAATATGCATTTCAGATATTTTTGACCAATTCTCATCCCTGTAACAAACAATAGTATTGTCTGTGCCCACCTCCCTCACTCTGAGACATGTTTATTACTCTGTTTAATGTAGACTATTGTACTTTATTTTATTGTTGAAACTGCAGACATCCTGATCCTCTACAGTATTTGCTTCCACATACTGTATAAACCAGGGGTCGGCAACCTTCAGTGCCCCTAAAGTGGCTCCTGGAGCCTTTTCAAAAATGTCTGAAAATGGAGTGTGAGGGCTATATTTTCAATGTGGTTTCTGTAGGAGGAAAAACATTCTTAACGTTTTTCAATGCTGCAAAAACTTGTATAAGTAATATTAAATTTTAGCATTTCTGTACGTAGTGCGTCATATCCTGTGACGCGGCCCGTGCCAGGCGGCTGCTGCTGTAAACAAACCGGCGTGTGTGCATTATAGACTGTGTGTGCGCATGGATCCCAAAGATACAGAGAGAAAGAGTCGATAAGACTGGACTAAGAATGAGAATGAACTTTTGCTTTCAGTCAATGAGGAAGGACTGCTTCATGTTTGCGATGTAATGAAAACAATAATGAACAATGAAGCTTTAAACACCGTTCACTGAAAGATTCATTCATCATAAAGTCAGAGCACCTATTTTCAGACTTCAAAAACCTCCACAGAGACGGTGAAAGAAAAGGCCATTAAGGACATTCAGCTCCAGCAAACTTCAGCCTGTGATGTGATCGATATGAACAGACAGTGATGCAGGTGAACTGAGCCAAAAAGCAGATGTATTTACTGTATTTGTACAATTGCATGAAGGCAAAAAAAGTTAAACTTAAAGCAGAGTTGTCACGTGGTGCGTCATTCTCTCCAAGACACGCTGCAATGAAAATACACATTTGATAATCATGAATGGTTTTTATGTGTTTGTAGCCTTTACTTTGTCATTTAGATATTAGTCTAATATAGCTAATATAGCTAATGTAGCTAATGTAGCTAAGGTAGCTAATGTAGCTAATGTAGCTAATACAGCTTCAGACCCTGTTACCTTCATATAAGCCTTATACAACGCTGTTTTTTTTTTGTCAAATATGGCTCCTTGAACCTTTTGAGTTGCCTGGGCCGCTAAAAAGGAAAAAATGCCCGGGCCGTTTTTTTGTCCCAGTCCAGCCCTGCCTACGTCACTACACCAGGCTGGACCACGCTTTACCCAGCCTGTCATAATCAGCTCATCAACTCCCTGCCAGCCGTGTCAATAAAGCCAGCATTTAAAAGCAGAGCACAGCTCATCAAACAGCCTTTCAAGCCAACACCACCTCTGCCTCAGGATTTCTTCACACGCTCACATTCACCCTGCCTTGTTGCCACCACGAGTGTCCAGGCCCCGGGGAATCACAATCTGCACCCAGGCACAGATCCCCTCAGAGTTCGGCCACAGCCAGGGCCTATACACCAAACAAATAAACAAATTCAATCCATAAAATCTCTCAAACATATAAAGACACCTACAGTATTTCTTGTCTCTCTCTGGTATCTCTCTAGACTCTCTCTGTACACTCTCCAGTCTCTCTCTGGACACTCTCTGGTCTCTCTGGACTCTCTCTCTGTAGTCTTGTCTCTAGTAGTCTCTCCAGGTTGAATTGTAGATGTGGATAATTCTCCAACTTTGACAGCTGTAAGGCACCATTGCATTGTGTGAAATTGAGTGCATGTGCTTCTGTGTCCTGCAGATGGCATCGATCAGAGCGACTCGGGCTTGAGTGTCGCAGGAGAGAAGATCCGCCGCCGGGTCAAGACGCCTTACACCGTGAAGAAGTGGCGGCCGGCCTCGTGGGCGCCCCCCAGTGACCAGCACCCAGACCTGCAGCTGCTGACTTCCGCCTTCCCCACAATGGTCCAATCCCGGTCCAGTACGGCCGCCTTGGTGCAGCGGGACACCTCCAAACCGGACGGGATCACCAGTTTCTGATCGCTGCTACAAACCAACAGTGCGCTTATGTGATCTCACCAAGAGAAATGTCATAATCCGACTTTCCAAAGTGAATTAATTTACATACTGATGCTGTGCCCTTTTCTGTTTTCTGACCACAGAGCAATATAGATAGATAGATAGATAGATACTTTATTGATCCCTGTTGGAGAAATGCAGGTGTCTAGTAGCAGCAGAAATACATCCAGCCACACAAACAAATACATAATTCCAAAAGTTACTAATAATAAAGTTCAACAGTAGCTTAGGTCACAGCAGCAGAGGGGGTGTTGCCGCTGGGGGGTGCAGGACAGGTCACAGCAATTTTACATAGAGTAAAATTGGTAGTATTTTGCGTCGTAGTAACATATAACAAACATTTCTAATCTCTCCTCTTGCCCTCGTAAACTCAGACTCTCTCACTTCTGCACGACGTGGTGGGATTTTAACCCGTTTTGTGAGTCGGATCTTTACAGTTTCTGAGATCACATGGACGCAGAAGTATTTCTACCTCTTTCCCTGTGAGGCGTCACATTGGATCAGCAGGTAAAGAGTCCGCGTGGTGAACTTGGAGTTTGCTTGATGATCTAATGTCTTTAGAAAGCACACTGTATGTAAAGAGAGACCATCGAGGGGGAAGGAGGGGAAGAGAACTGTAGGAAACCTTTAACATCCACATCCGCACTGGTCAGACAGGCCTCCAGTGTACGTGGGATAAAACCCCAATAACCTTTATTCCAGGACTCCCTTGAAATAGAGGTTTTTCACATCAATGGGATTTTCCTAAATAAACATAAATAATAATGACAAATACGGCACGTGCCGTACCATGTGGGACAGGGAAGTTAAACTCTATAAGATTAGATACTTTTACTTTAATAAGAGCCTTGTTTATTAATGGATTCCTACCACCTTAGAGTGAAGCACAAAATATCCCAATATTAAAGATTTGAACCTTCGTTTCTCTGCCATAACCAATGAATCAGGATGACATCAGCTCTCAAGTGAAAGCACAGTGAAGTAAACTGCTCCAGGTTTACCTGTAAAAGAGCTTTTGAGAAAAGCTTTAGTGAATGAGACATGTGTATTCACAGTGTGTGACTCGGAGACAGTGGTGACAGTTTGCACTGGAGGTTCACAGCTTCGAAGACGCACATCGCCACGTTTTAGAAAAGAAGCTGCAGCATGAACACCAGAACTCCCAGAGCAGTCATAACGACAACTTTTAGTTTTGGTTCATTTTTAATCTTCATAACTTTGTGACATTTCTGTTTCCGTTTGTAGTTTATTTCTATGTCATTGTTTTTTATGAAATTATCTTTATATTTTTATCTAATAATTAGATTAGATAATAATAATAATAATATTATTATTATTTTCTATGCCTACCCTTAACTTTAAGTTTTTCTTGGCAACCAACGTTCTACGGTTGAGTCCTGGACTGGTTCCGGACTGTTCCTGGACTAGTGTAAAACCAACTCAGACCCCGAACAGTTGCTAGTAACCATAGCAACACACTTTTCACTTGCAGCACTTTGCATTTTGTTTTTCAAGTTATATTCACTAGTTGATTTTTTTTGACCATTACTCACTAGAGCTAGTGAGTAATGGTAAAAAAAAATTCTATCTAATTGATGAAGACTAACTCACTTTTTAGATCAAAATGACTGCTCTGGGAGTCCTCGTGACTCCTTTGAAAAATGTGTTTTCAGATGTGTCCACCTTCCTCAGCTGAGAGACAATGCCCCCGTGTGGACAGGGGCAGCACTGCATGGAAACTTTTTACTTTAGTAACACTTGACTTGAGTCAGTTCACAAGCTTTACTTTGACAATATTGAATGATTTTCACTGCAACAACATTTCAGAGTGCTTGAACTAAGTAGTAAGACCAAAAAGGATAAAAACAGACCATAAATAACCATAAATAATCATCATGTATCATTTAAGCTTGGATTGGAACATTGTCAGAATTTACATGTGGCTTGCCTTATTTCAGTCGCATTTATTCTGAGATTCTACTGAGAACCGTTTTGTCACATATGTAAAGTTAAAAACATTTCTATTCCAAAATGACACGGCTTACTTCAAGCACTTTTGTTGGCTCCCGTTTGCAGTGTTCCCTTTAGCACCTTACCTTCCTCATTTGCACATGTTTAAATCATTGATAATATTTGCTTTGTTAATGTTTAGTCAGATTACAAATACCTTCTCTCGTTCTTGTTCTATTTTTGCAATTGTTTTTTGCTTCTCTTGCCTCTGTACTTTTACAGAGGGGCCCTTGTTTGGCTCCTCCTTGGACCTGTAGTGGGGGCCTCTGTGGAGCCTGGACTGAACCATAGTGAATTAGAATAATCATCATTTATCACGTGAAGGTGTCACTGTAAACTATAGGATACTATAGGATCATGACAAAAGACTGAAAAACAAATATTCAGCATTATTTGCGTTCATTTTGGCCAGTAGCCATCAGCACTGCCATCTAGTGGTGGGAGTCGGAAAGGACGTGATTTGATGATGCTGTGCCCATGACGTCTGAGCATCCATCCTACTGTAAACAAGTTTGAAAACTAAGCATTTAGACAAAAGGGGCGGGGGCAGTTCCTGATATTAGCATGGATGGATCTGAAACTACACCACGTCTGTTTTTGATGAGGAACAATGGTTATAAACTAAACTTTTGTTGAAGCTGGAATGGTGTTTGTGGGGGATTATTTGCAGCCTTTTTGTATCTGTGTGTTTGTGCTTTTTCTACTGTTTGTACTGGTTTGATATCAGACCTTTGGCACCACGGACCTCTCCAGCCTTTTTCCTTTACTCTGGCCTCCTCCGCTCCGCAGCTCTCCTGGAAACATGCGGATGGGAATTATCAGGGAAATCATTTAACCCTGAAGAAACCAGACATGAATTAATTTGTTGATTTTTTTTTTTTTATCTGTGCTATTTTGGGAAAGTAGCATGCTACATTACCAAATTTGGTAATGTAGCATTTAGATTTTTTGTTTTTTTAGGGTTAGGGTTAGGGTTCATACAATAGTTAATTCATTAAACCAAAAAGCCAGACACATTTTACCATAACCTTTGAACTTTATGTTGCATATTTGTAACCGAAGGTGCTACGGGGTTAAATACTTATCTAATTATCTAGAATTATATCTCACTCAATCTTGGAAAAATACCTTAAAATCCAATGCATGTTATAAAATCAGTCTGGTATCGGGTCAATGTGACAGTTCTTTGTTTCTTTGGGTTAGGGTTAGGATTAGGGTCTGGATTAGGGTCTGGATTAGTGTCTGGGTCAAGGTAAACATAGGGTAAAGGTACCAGGGTGAGCCCAGGACCAAGTTGCAACTGTGATCCTGGATGTTTGAAACCACATTTACTTGTTTTTGTACCTGTGAGCAACATTCTGTACAAGATCTCACACAACACAAGGATTATATTGAGACAGTTTGGTGATTTCTCAAACAGAACAGAATAAACCCAGCTGCAGAATAGCGACGGGGAGGACACTAAAGGGGCGTTCACACCGGACTTAACTTCGGCGTCAAAAGCGTCAGGTTTGCATTGAAAGTGAATGGTGAAGCGCGTCAGGTGAAGCCGAGGGGCCCGGCGTCACTTGGCGCGCGTCAAAAGCTTCAAAGGTCGCGCGTAAGGGTGTGGGGTTTTGCAGGATCATAAACGTTGTGTTCAAATAGTGAATATGCTTCTGAATGAATAAATATACTAAAGGAGGAGGCGAGGAGCAAATGGAGACGTGTCCTGTGTGGTTGTAAATGTTCATATCTTTAAACTTGTATCATATGTCTCCTCTTTGTCGCTCACTTCTGTCCTTCCTTCATGGAACATCGCATTACTCCATAGTCCAAGTTTTGTCATATTTGATATTCAATAAAAGAAGGTGAAATCAATAAAAATGTGACTTTTATTGGGTTTGGTAACGACTCACAGGTTTGTGTTGATTCTCACATTTATAGCCTCAAAAGCAATAAAAACAAAAGCACAATTCATGCAGACAATAAAAATAGTTAAAATACATATAACCAATGTTGTAGTAAAAATCAAGTTATGATACTAATTACAACATTAGTCATGTGCACCGCTAAGTAAGACAGTTTTCAACCTGGATTCATGCTACAAGTTCAAGGAGACTGATTTTAGTCCTGACTCTGCATGGGCACCAGCAGGAGGCCAGTCCCTGTGCTCCTCAGAGTCCCAGCAGGAGGCCAGTCCCTGTGCTCCTCAGAGCCCCAGCAGGAGGCCAGTCCCTGTGCTCCTCAGAGCCCCAGCAGGAGGCCAGTCCCTGTGCTCCTCAGAGCCCCAGCAGGAGGCCAGTCCCTGTGCTCCTCAGAGTCCCAGCAGGAGGCCAGTCCCTTTGCTCCTCAGAGTCCCAGCAGGAGGCCAGTCCCTTTGCTCCTCAGAGCCCCAGCGGGAGGCCAGTCCCTGTACTCCTCTGAGTACCACTATGTATACATACATACATTCTATTTTTCCAAACTAGAAATATTGAAGAATACTGTCCTATAAATCCCTATTCATTGACGATTTAGTTTTGTGCAATAATCAATGTAAGTAACAATGTATCACAGAAAAGATGTCCCCTGGGGAAAAAAGAAATAAAGATAACATATTTAATTAATTTGATTAAAAAAAATGTAAATGTATGTAAAAATGTATTGTTCTTATGGCTTCCATTACAGACATTAAAGGGAACAAGATACTCTTCAAAATAATAAATCCAATTTGTTCTTCAAAATAGTTATCAACACATCAATTTCTAATTGGTAAAAGTCTATGTATCTTTTTCCAACAGGCCATCCATGGTTTTAATGTGAAAAAACCTCACAAATATGTTGGAATAATTACAGAGATGGAGTAAACAAATATATACAGAAATCTAAAGTATCTCTGAACTCAGTTTACTTCCATCCATAGAGTGTTGCAGATTTCAGAAATGCAGCACACGTCGCTACACTTCTATTTTCTGTCATCGTATATATCA